TGTATGATTGGTATTATGATCTGCGGTTGTTCATTCTTTGTTGGTCCCGCTGCCAAGGTTCAACGTGAAAACCTGGGGCTGTTGGAGGATGGCTTTCGTGATGGCCAGGCTTCAAACGGAGGTGGGCTTTTGTGGAGACGCGCTCAATGCACAGACGGTTTGAGGTTTTGTGGGATCTGGTGGTAGAGCTGTTATGCGTGGGTCCTCTCCTGTACAGAGCCAACTTTCCTGGCAACGGTCAATTTATTTGTGCATGGAGAGGAGGGGTGCCTGGTACTTGTACGGCACACTCGAATCAAAGATTCAGAGTCAGCAGCCTTAAGTTGAGGATGGGTTCCCCCCCAAGCCTTCTGCCATCATGTCGACAACTGCTTGGCTGGCACTGCCCGTCTTCCGCCCTTGCAGCCGGCCGTTTGACTAGAACTTCGGCTGAGTATAATCTCGGGATCTTCCCAACAAGTAGGCAGGGCAAGAAGCGAGGCAAATTGATGCAGAGAAGTCAAGTGAGAGGGGCCCCCTTTTGGGGACCTCCTGGCAGAACTCGTCTGACAAAAGGGATACCCATAGCCATTGTCGATTGTCAGACACTGACACACAGTCCCTGTGGCCTTACACATCCCATGACAGTTGCGAACTGCAAGCACAAACAAGTGCTTGAGGAAGTGACTGGGAGTCCACTGGCGTGTGGTGTGAGACCGCTGCATGTAGAGGTGTGGAGGCAGAAGCATCCAGATGTGCCGAGCGCCGGGCTTGGCCGAAGTTTGTGCTTCGCAGTGATTTCAGTTCACGTTTGGAATCTAGGCTTCGGAATGCGGAGAGAGAGAGAGAGAGAGAGAGAGGAAGAAGAAGAAGAAGAAGGCTTGTAGAACCCCCTGTGAAACCCAGCGTTTCACCACAACGAACCTTGAGATTCATTCGCTTCCTTCAGGTGCCCCTAGGGGCTGGCCCTCGGTGGGGTGGCGGGTTTTCCCTGCTCAGCTTGGGCACGTATGATTGACATGTTAGATCGAGCCAGGAGGCCCGAAGCCTTCAGCGGGAGTTAATTGAATTTGTGCTTATTTGACGCGTACCAGGTGCAGATTGCTCAGAGGTTTCGCTCAGAAGGCGGCTACATCTGGAAACATAGCATTAAGACCCATCCGCGGAAAAAGGTGAACCTGGAGAATCTGAGAGATTGTGCTATACTACTTGGGCACTTAGGGGAATGAGGTCCGATTTCTCTCGGTTTGATGGGACTTTCTTGGGTTGCCCACTTGGGCTTCTGGGTCTGTCGGAAGAAGAAGATAGAACTTGCCTTCTAAGACGTGCTCATGAGGTCAGTTGTTTTTGTCGGGCCTTAGTGAGTTGGTGATGGCAGACTGGTGCTTGTCGATGGGTGGCTGTTTGTATAGAGTCAAGAGGAGTGCCACGGGGAAGGGCCCTGGTGTTTGAATAGGACCTGCTGTTGGGTTTCCAGTGAGTCTGATGACGATGGCCTCCGGAGTGCAGCCAAGGTTGTGTCACAGCTCAGTCGAGCAGACCAGAAGCTGATATTAGGGAAGCATGCAGCATGCGAGTATGGTTCATGTAGGTCCCCCGAGTGATGTGATGCAGCCCTGGTATGTGCAGTATGTCAATGTTGGTTTTGTTGGGAACCGAGGGGATGGGCTTTTTGCAGGGGTCGTAGGACTCCCCAGAGCCTGGAGAAGAAGAGCAAAAAGAATTACATCTACTATCACGCCAGGTTGTTCGCCTTTGCAACTTGCTTACCCGTGCCTTGAAGCTGCTGTCCTGGGGGAGTGCCGGTGTCCGCTAAGGCAGGCCGCCCATCGACCCAAACGCACCAGTGCGTCGAAGGAAAACGTTGCAGTCCCAGGCAATTCTTGCCGGGTGCGGACGAAGCATAGCTTACTTTACATCTTGCAAGGACTGCCAACTACTTCCACTTTTAGGGAAAACGTGAGCTCTACTACGCAGTAGCAGAAGTACAAGTAGCAACAGCAGCAGCCGGAAATGTAGATGGGCTGGTATTTGCATATGGAATAGCTGCTAGGCTGCTAGACCTCATGATGCAGTTACTTCCCGGGACCCGCGCTTGCACATGCAATTCGGGCAGGCAAAAACTACAGCGCCGTCTTCAGGCCAAGTTGCGCCATGCAAGGGCTGAGCACGGGGCGAGGTCCCACCAAAGCTGCAACCCGAAGTTGTGTGAATGAGAGCCTGTAGCCGAAGCCTCTCGATCGAAATATTCACCAGGCAGCGCAGCAGGCTCGAAGAAAGGCTCCAAGCGAGCAAAAGAGCTTGTGCCTGAGTTGATGTCCAGAGCCCATCCGCCTTGAAAGAGTTGACCATTCCATGCTCGGCATTGCGCCAGCAAGACCGCAGTGACGCTGCAGCAAACAAGCCAGACAGCACTGGCACAGACAAAGGAATCTCGACCCATCAACCTTGCACAAGTTCTTCGCGTGATGCTCGGTCGTTTCTGCACGGCCCTTCTTCAGCAGCAATGTCCCTCCCAGCGAATGAATGAGGCAGTGCAGGCACCCGAACCAAAGGCCACCCGGTACGCCACAAAGCTGCAAAGCTTTCACTTCAGCCATTCGGCAGGCCGAGTGCCATCCCAAGCCGAAGGGCCGCCCAAAGCAGTGCAGCCCTTGGGCGAGAGCAGCTGCTGGTGTACCTCCTGGCGCGGTCTGACAGCAGACGCTGAACGCTAAGGAAGAACCTGTTTTCCTTCATGGGGGCGAGTCAGGAGCTTAACATCGTCAGCTGGTGGAGGGCTTGTCTGCTGAGTGCACGAGACCCACGCCCAAGACTGGTAGGACACGGCATGAACCAGAAGCAAGATGAAGCATCGCAAGCTCAGGCAGCCAAGCTGAAGCTGGCCCGAAAGCCAAGATGGGCCGTGGGGTTCTGCCAGGCTTGTGGAGTCGAGTTCAGAATGAGGGATTCATCATGGCAGCCCCGCTAACGATACTCCTGCAGGTTCTTTCCTGAACACAGTGCCGCGCCCCGCCCCTTGCCTTGCAGAGGTCACAGCCAGACACCCCCCGCGAAGCGGCCCAGGGGTGACGGCACTGAGAGGCCGTGAGACACGCTTGTGTGCAATCCCGCTTTGGGGTGATCATCCTCTGCGGGCGGAGGAGGAAGGGGTGCCGTTAACAACAAGGCAGAGTAAGAGGGAATCAGCGTAGTGACACGTTTGGCCCGGTGCAACAACGCACTGGGACATGGCTGCACTTGATCGATGTCCAACCAGTGCCTGCAGCCGCTTACTTTTGAGACGGGCAGGTAGCACAAGGGATCCTACCTGCAGCCTGAGGCTGCGTTTCACCCGGCGGACTATGGTGTGGCTCCATCATCGGCGGGAATCCATGGCACTGGTTCTGTCAGCACTGTCAGTGGTCATGGCAAATCCAGAGGAGCAGGCGCTGACGTTAGATGTGCCCTGGCGTGACTGACTGTGTAGGGTGTGTCAAAGGCAGTTCGCCGCACAACACTCGCCCGAGACGATTTTTTAGCACTCAATCATCATCAGACTTGCGCCAGCCTTCATCTTCACATGTGGCTGGCCAACGCAAAGGTGTACTGAAATGCCGAAAACTTGACAATCATGCTTCCCAGCAAGGGTTCATGCCCTTGGTGCCCCCATCTTTTTGGCAAACACAGACCCGTTTTGCGAATGAGCGAGAATTTGCTGCAAAGGACGCGTGCAACAGTGGTGAGCGAGAAGGCCCAGTCCGAGATATGTCGGTTGTCATGGGAGATGTTTTGTAAAGCTTGATTGCCTAAGTTCACTCCTAAAACGGCTTCGTAGGTGCAAGGTTCTCTGCTAGAATCCTGACTGGAAGCAAAACTCAAGGCACAGCATGCCTACAAAGCATCGCAGCTGTACTTGGTGCGTTCATGTAGGGACCGCGAGTGGCGTTCTTGCAGGCTCCAAGCCAATGCTACTGATAACATTGGCACCTCATATCTGAACCGGAAGCCTAGCAATTGTGGTTTACACTTGATGGTTGTAAAGCTTGTGGCCTACTGCCGGCGACTGACCCTGCTAGGCCCCTGCGACATTTCCTTGACCCAGACTCTTGGCTGGAATGACCCAATTCTTGCACCGTGTCACGTCATGTGTGTGTTGCGTCGTTCCCCCCACTGACTCCTAGATTTTTGATTGAAGATGGTGGTGCTGCGATCTTTGAGGCTCCGTGGCCTCCCGCGGAGGGCAGCGGAAGATAACAGCTCCGAGGCACAGACGAAGTCTTGTAAAAGAAGCTTTGCTGCTCTGAGCCAAGAATCGCACGAGTCTTCCATGAATCAAAGTTTGTTGGAAATAGCAGCTAGAAGTTGCCGCAAAAGGAACGGGTTCCAAGATCCATGCATTTGCCGACTGAGAAGCTTCTCAGAACTGCAGCCAGCAATTTGCCTACTCCAGAACCTGCGAGGCCTTGGCGGAGGTCGCAGGCGCGCCCAACGCCTACTTCAGCATACAATCCTAGCCTAGCGTCCTAGCTTCTTGTTCTTCATTCTGAGGATAGTAGTCAGACAGGCCAGTCAGTGGACCGCAATACAAGAGACCTGCAAATCTATCCAAATTTGGATTTCATGCGCCGGCTATTGCTCGTTGCAAAAATCACGGCGCAGGAAGGTCGTCGCAGTCCAGACGATTGCGGCATCATGGCTGCAACAGGGAAACAGAGGCATCTGCATGGCATCCTCATGATTTCAGATGTTGCAGCCATTCGGGTTGCTTTGTGCTCATGCCCCAAGGATAGTCAATGGCTGCAACAGCCAGCCGCGGCTTGGTTGAAGCATTCACCAGATGATGAGCTGGCTTTGTGCGGAAAACTGCGTATTTTTCAGGATGTGGATCGCGCACATAGCAGGAGCTGCACTGGGACCTGATCCTCAGAATGTATCTTGCCACGCTTGGTTTCCGTTCACAGTCTGCACGTCCATTGCTAGTTGAGGGCTTTGGCCTAGGCCCCGCAGCTACAGTTTTAAAGGGCCTTCATGAAGCTGAGGTGAAGATAGAGCCCGGAGCCTTCCATGATTTCCTAACTCCGAGCCACTTATCTGCCATGCGATACTGGCCCAAGACGCTTGCCTGCGCAAAGTAACACTGAATCGACAGACGTATGGTACAGTCATCCCATCCCAGCTGAAGCCCTTCATTCTAGCTGAGGATGGGTTGCGACGCAGCTGGCCACAACTGCTACCTGGTGTTTGAGTCATAGTGAAATCTGCCCAGGTGGCCTGTAAGGGTAGTGGGACCAGACTAAGGCAAAATCGGAAGCAGTGGCGGACCTGGCCAGGAATGCGTATGGAATCCTGTAACGGGCCAGGCCACCACAGTTTGCCAACTAGATTCCCCAAGAAAGTTGAAGTCTGAGATTAGGCTGATGGGCTGGGGAGTGGCAGCAGGCTAATCGAGGAGTAAGCCGTTTTTCGGGCTGAAAGGCAGCGGACTTTAGGGCTGTTGGCATGTTGGAGAGTAGCGCCGACCTGGCAGCCTCCGAAATACATGGAGAGGTCGTACTTCTAATAGAGGCGCAGCCATGATTTTGTCGCATTCGGCACTCGATGAATCCAGAATTCATCGCCAGGCGGATTATAGCCGTTGCCATCCACCCGTCGACACCAAGTTCGAAGCGATGCTCGCCAAGGATGTATGTTGATTGTAAACTCCAGAAGTCCTCACAACCGCAGAGATTCATGCAGCCAAGGAGCTACGGTGAGAATGGTGCGCCCTGCAACCCAAAAACGCCAGGAGGTGTTGAAATGTTGCTTGTCAGCTGGAGCAATTGAACCTTCCGCTTGACCGGGCCGACTTGAGTACTTGTTGTTTACATGCATTCTCAGCTTTTCGCAAATCTTTCGCCTAATGTCTGCAAAATCTTCCCCAAAGGCGCAAGCCTCACTCCCATCATTGACGCTTCTAGCCACTACAGTTCTCTGGGCAAATGAGTGTCGGTCGCTCACCAGCTTCAACATTACCGTTAGCTTGGGATGCTGTGGAAGGTCGTTTGACTGCGTTCACGCTGCCGAGGAAGGGGTGCGACTATGTGGATCTCAGCTTAGTTGATGGCTGGACCCTTCCCGTCAAGTTCGAAGCGAGCGGCGACTGTAGCTCGTTATTAACAACCTCTACCCAGCCAAGCCAGGTGAAGCAAGACCATCACTAGCAAGAGATGCAAACGCAGCGCGGAGGGCCTCGCATCGCCTGAGGGCCTGATCCAAGAACACACCCCAGCAGGCTCATTGCAACCAATAGTCAGTCTATGCGAACAATGATGAATCATGACGTGTCTTTTCGGTTTTCACTTGATAAGAACGGTTCCCGCCAAGAGGTCTCATCCTGCTACACATGCCCACTCCAAGACCGCCTGCATTTAGTCCGTTCAGATACTTAGAGGCAAGTCCTCGATGAAAAAAAAGCCCAGCTGAGAAAATCCCAGGCAGGACAAACACGGATGAAAAGGTCGAGGCCCAGCTGGACTGGTAACTGCTGGCTTCAGACAATTCACATAGCGGTGACATAGGTCTTGAAGGATCCGCAGCCTCAAGCAAGATTAGGATGACCATGCTTTGATGGGTCTGCTGCGATTGGCTGGTGTCAGGTCCTGGATTGCGCCGGCCTGACGCTGGATGCTTGTCCTGCGGCTGAGCACCTGACAGCAGCAGGCTAGAGAACTCTGCTGGGAAAACAGGATTTCTGGCAGATAGGGAGGGATAGAGAGGATGCACAGAGAGAATGCTGGGTGTGCTGAACTTATTCCCCGACCTAATCATGGTTGGCATTGGGCTTTAGGGAGCAGAGGTCTTATACAGCTCGCGGGGCATGCGGCCTGTAGAAGAACAGTGCGCCAAGAAAAGTGAGCAAACACACGTTTTACTTTGGCGGGCTAGCGGCACATGCAGCCAGCTCAGAAAGCGCGTGGATTGTCGATCGCCAGTGCTAAAGGCATGACAGCGGATCTTCGGGCCATCAACCCTATCACCCACCAAGATTCTTGGCTAGCAACTTGATTTGTGTCTCAAACTAGCTGGGGACTTGTGAGCGCTTGTGAGGTGTCAGGTTGCTATAGCCCTTGCAGCAAGCTCCTTGACACCAAGTGGAGCAACAAGGCAGGAATAGCACTCGTGGTCTGTTTGAAGGTTTCGCTTAGGTTCATAGTTCGCAGGCAGAGGAGATTTATTTGAAGTTCGGAGCAGCTTCCGGCAGTGCTTTGACCCACCCCCCCATGGTGGAGCAATATTCCCAGTGTCTGAACAAAACGTCTGATGCGCAATCTCTGCAGGAGCTGGCTCACGGTCGACAACCAGAACAGGCAGAGGCGCTATCGAAGCAGCAATTGCACCCTTAAGCGATGGTGTCACTTCAACAGACTGCCATACCCTTGACCTTCTGAATTTCCGTGGCCTGTGGGAAGCGAGCTATCATTAAGTTCGGGAGGGTGAAGTGGTTTTTGTATTTTTTGCATTGCAGCTATCCAGCTTACAGCGCACCCTCAAAGCGGAAACGATGAGAAGTGGCTCAACTAGTTTGACATTCAGCGCATGCGCTCAGCTACTCCTTGTGAAGCAGCAAGTACCACGGCTCTTTTCGCATTGGCTGTTGCAGTAGATTGAAGAGCATGACGTACTGAAGCGATCTTGTACGGAGTTTTTCGGCTTGGCTTGTAAGTGTTTCAATGGCCTGGCAGTCCTGAGGTGAGGTTCCAGGAGTTCAGACTTCCAGTTCTCAGTAACCGAGGTCGCGCCTTACTGCTGCCCGACTCCGCCGCAGACCCCAGAGAGCTGCCGGGCTGGCCCGCAGCGTGGGCTGAACTGGCTACACGAAATTGCACGAGGAGTTAACCCGTAGCTTGGGCTTCGGATGCTCATCAGGGTTCCCAGACATGAAGGCACGCAGAAGGATAAGTTCCACCAACATGTTCCAAGAATCCGATGGGCTTTGCCGCTTCAGCAACCGCCCTAGCCGGCCGTACTCTGGCCTTACGTAAGCGTCATGGCTCGGCAGCGCGCTAGTGGCCCCATTTTGAGGAGCTTTCAGTGGATGCTCCGGCGCAGGGGCATTACATCAGGTTGAAGTTCAGTGCAAAAAGTGCCAGCTTGTTTAACTTTTGAACCCAAGATTCGATGTAGGGGGAGACTATGAAGATGGGGTGGATGTATGAGTTCACCACCAACCCATGGTATACTTGCTTAGCCACCAAGCCCGGACGTTGTGCGAATACAAGGATTACACACACCGACTTCTTGAAGACCGTGCATGCAAAGTGCCCTGGAGCCACCTGGATGCTAATAATGGTGTGCAGCTGGGGAGCATTGCATCTTTGAGGGTTCCATGTCGTTCATGGTGGCCTGACTTGGGTAAAGCACAAGTCAGTTGCGTGTCCGTGGAAGTGCCAACAAAGCTTCTCCTGAGAGCCTTAGAGATGCCTTCCAGCCGCCAAGGCTAAGGATTCCTCTTTCTATTGGATGAGTCTTCAAGTGCATCTAATCGTGATATTCGTGATCAGGTCTACGGCTACGCTTACGACGATGGTACTGGCCTCATGCGCTGCAGTTCGGCCACTCATTACACCGCTTCTTGCTCGCAGATTGCCTTGCTTGCTGCAGCTGCTGCAAAGGTCCATCAATAAGGTGTGTTGTAGTCGTCAGCATTGGGTGCTGGCTAAGATGAGCGTCTAACAGGAAGCCTGAGTACGCGAGCAAGCGATAGAGAGAGAGAGAGAGAGAGCTGATTGCTTCATAGCCCATACGAAAGAAAGACAGAAAGTCCATCGTCTCACAGCCTCGTAGAGAAAGGAAATGCATTCAAACCTGGACCAGGAACTCTGAATAGACGTGCCAAAGAGGGTTTATCAGTATGGGGCATCGAAATCCTTGGTGAGTGCTGGTCGGGGCTTGGATCCGTTTCGGGCCTCCGGGTTACCGATGGGACAGCGGACTTGCGGGGTGCAGGGCCGTGCCGGGGTTTAGTTCCCTTCAACGTCCGAAGAAGAAGAAGTCCATTGAAAAGCCAGGAGTTTAGGCAAATGTTCAATCTCAGCTGCTACCGCTGCATGTGCTCTGCATGTGCTCTGCATGTGCTCTGCATGTGCTCTGCATGTGCTGCAGAAGCAAAGGTCACCTTCTTTTGTCCAGCCACGCTGGCTGCCTGACCGCTAGACATCGCTAGAAAGCAGCCGGCAATTCAAAACAAGTCTTGTTGCGAGTCTTTGCAATTTTGGGGCCGCATTGCTTGAAGGATCTTGCAGGTATATGAAGGTATTGCATATGCTAAGATCAGAAAGATTAAGTGGCCTATGGTATTGGTATGGAGGGGGAGAACTTGGATGGCTAACGAGCTGGACTTCCTGCCCATCTTGCCTCTCTTGCCGCTGCTGTTGCGATCCCAAGGGTGCCTTGGACTACGGGACTCTCGGTGAACTTTAGTGAAATCTGGTGTAACTGCCAGGCCTACAGGCCTAGCGCTTCGCTGGACGCGCGCGTCATCCCTGAGGGTTTACTAGGCTGTGGGGGGGCTTGCAGGGTCCTTCTGCCAGCATAGCCGCAGCTAGCTTCTAGAAGATCACTCACACGCTTTATCCGCTGAATGCAGACATTGCAAATCTCCTTGGGTTTGGGGGTTAGGACTGACTGTTGACGGGGGCCACGCGAGCCAGCATTTTGGAGCATGGCGGGCCCAGTCAGTGCCGCTTCAGCAGAGCTGGGTGATGTGTCCACCTTCGAGATCGAGTGCAAGAGCTTTGACTGGCAACAAGCCCAAGCCATGACAGGATTTGCCTAAGCTTTACGTTGAGGTTGCTCCTGACAGGCGGAAGTTTGTCAGTGCATAGTGTAGGAGCCCAAGGCTTTCAGGATGCGGTGAAAGACGAGAGCCTTCAACGCTCATCATGCCACAAGACCCTGGAGATTTTTCCTTGCACCAACTTGCAATTCTCATCAACGAACAGTCCGCCTGACATGAAAAGGTCCCATGCTCCTGCAAGTGAGTTGATTGTTCTTTCCTGTGATCGGCGGCAGTAGCAGCAACGGCAGTTTGGACATCACGAGTAAAGTATACTGCCCCCGACCTCGCTCGTGATTGCCTTACCTTGGCCGGGTCTATGTTGGGTGTGTCGAACAGATTTCTGAGAAAATCTTAACAGCCCAGTAAATGAGATCAGCGAAAGCCAGTCAGTCCAATGTCTACAATGCCTCAGGAACACCTTCCTACACATTAGTGAGCGACCTTCTCGAGACGGCCGCGCTGGCCAAGCAGTTAGCCGCAGCCGTAGTTGGACCCCCTCCTCCGCGGGAAGCAGTCCAGAAAAATCCTCTGAACCTTCGGTTTCTAGTCTGGGCCTGAGCATGAAAGCTAAAGCATTTCCAGCTCAGCTTTCAGCAGCGGCGCAAGATTTTTCCCAGGCAGGTGAGCTGTTCTTTCAACCTGAAGCGCTGTCCACTGTCCAAGTATGTCCAAGTGTTGCCATTCTTCAGAGGTTGTCCGTTCGGAATCTTTTTCGAGTTTCTAGCTGACGTTACCCTTTGATTTGAGTTTACAGTTGGTACTGCATTGAAGAGAATGCGGCTTGTGCAGAGTGCCTGAATCCTGCTGCATCCTTGCCGCTTTTCTGACTTTGAGCCGGCTGAGGTCTAATTCGGCACTTTGTCCCAAACTTGGAGGAAACACCGCCGCCTTCGCATCAGCTCTTCAATCATGTTGCCAGCTCAACTAGCCAAACCTCGCGCTCAAGTGGCCGGGCCAGAAGCGATTTCAGTCACGGCTCTGCTGACTTTGAAGAGCATGCAGCGATACGGGCTGAGGCACTCATGGGCCCTGCAGGGGACTTCCGTTTTTGTGGGGGTATGGCGAGAGCTGAAGGAGGTATACCATATGTCTTACACATTTTTAGGAGATCGTTCTGTGCTGCATTGGCCGCTTCTATGGTGCAGGTTGCTAGCATGATTGATTGCCCTTCCGTTGGATCACGGCTACACTTCGAAGGAAAGTGCTTCTCGGCAACGCTATAGAATTCAGGACGTTTACTGCTGGGCTTGCCCTCAATTTATTGTTCACTGATGTTCGTTTAGTGTGTGTTCTTTAAGTCGGTTTGTTAAAGGTGTGTTGTGTGTTGTTTTTGTTGTGCTCCTCAGGAAAGTTAGCCACCCCATGCATTTCACCAGCATGGAGTGCCTGTGTCACAGCTTTCAATTCAAACGGCCTATGCACAACAGAGTGACAGGACATGGAAGCCCAGCAAATCAAAATTGAAAAGCAGGCCGATTGCTACGCCGAACTGTATCAGATGGTCCGCAGCCCAACTTTAGATTCAGGAAGCACTGCGGACAGTCAGGAAACTCGCGGGGCCAAGTCCGGCAAGTCAGCAAAGAGACGAAACCAGAGCAAAATGACATGAGAATCCAGGAGCGCTTGGCAATCACGTGGCAGAGAACAAGAGAACAAACGAGCTCAGGCAACTTACAAATGCAATATTACAAGGATTAGTGTCTGGACCTCAGAGTCAAGTTTGACGTAGACGGAAGTGGGATCAACAACCTTCTGGGGTCCACCCCCTCTGCTCCACTCCCAACAATCCACAGGTGTGTACGTGACTTAGTGGAATGATGAGTCACATGAGAACATCAATCCCTCTCTTGCATTAGGATTGCGTTGATTCAACATGACTTATGTTGAGCGAAATCATTGGTAGAAAACAAAGAAGACCAAGGTGGCGAGGGTCAACGGCTGAAGTGACCCCGCCCCCTTTGAACGTTTGCCATGGAAGTGATGCACATGAGCACCGAAGTCGGGTCAAATGTTGAAGTTTATCCTACCCACCTCAACCCAGGGCCAGGTGAGATCAGATAGTTTAAGCAGCTTTGCTCGAGAAAAGCAGTCCTAAGCATTTGCAAGGTGAGACCAGGCGTCAGCCTCACCATGCAATTCTGAAGGTGTAGCGTATGGCAGCACAAGAAACTCAGCAAAACCTGTGCTGCCCTCTGGTCCAACAGGAAGACCAGACCAGCAGAGAAAGCTTGACAACGGACCCTCCTAGATGATAGAAGCCTCGCACGGGCCGGCTATGCATCCAGGGTATGTGCGCGCTGTGTTCTAGTGCTGACAACCTTTTTCCTGACACATTGAGCCCTGATGTTGGGCTTTCCTTGCTCGTAGCCTTGCGCTGTGTTTTTGACTTCCCGTTAGAACTTTTTCTTCCTTCGGCTCATCCACGACGGTCTTTTTTCAAGGTTCCGGCTTTGTTTCTCTCACTGGCCTACCACCGCTGGCAGCACCACGTGCCCAGTAATTGTCAACGTTGCAGCAAATTTCAAGCTTGAATAATGAATGCTTGATATCACTTCTACTATGAGTCCTCGGCCATCCTCGGCCAAACCAGGCAGATGGCCATTTTACTTGTGTTCAAAGGTGAGGGTAATCTGTTTTGACCACCACTCACCTTCAGACCTAGACATGCTCGGCCTTGTACTCTAGTTTGAGGCTGCGGCTAAAGCATGGCATAGCATGGGCAGTGACCTACCATCACCAAGAGTATAGGCTGCTAGTATGCACAGCAAAGGTCAACCGTGCCGCTTCATAGATCATCCAGACGGTTGTCGGAATGGCTATGATTGCAACTTCTGCCATTTCCGAGATCATGAGGCAACCAGCGCAAAGACCCACCGGCCCTCCAAAGGAGTCCGATCAGGGTACAAGAGAAGCGTCAATCAGGTCATCCAATCCGACATGCCGGAGGAGCAGAAGCTCGAAGCATACAAAAAACTGGCAGAACGCAGCCCGTACATGCGGTGTCTGCTCCGAGCGGTGGTGCCTAACATCGATGACTTGTTAGAGGAGCACGGCGGCGAGGCGTCAAGCTCCGGCATCGACCAGCCTCGTGCTCCTGGCTTGCAGCCCAGCAGTTCCGTACCGCGAACGCCTGGTCAGCAGAGCGGACCTGGAGGGTCCAAGATCTCCCTGTGAGCTGATGGCTGGCTTGGTGATGTAGTAGGGACAGGTTCGACGAAAAGATCGGCCTTTACACCGGGGTGTGGCAAGAACTGGCAAGACTTTTAGTTTTGCAGTGTAATCATGGAGACTACTGTATGTGAATCAGTACTGCAGCAATAATGTTCAGCTAGTCTGCCCCACCCCAGTGTATTTTAAAATACCTTCAGTGCGTGTCGCGCGATGTCCAAGATGCTTTATATGTGCATAGCGAGATAGAATTCTTGTGTACATGACCGCGCGCGGGAGCTTGTGCCTGAAGTTGTGTTCGCAGTGTCGTTTCGCCAAGCCCTGCTGGACACGCGTGAAGCTTTGCGCCTCCACCCAATGGGGATCCCGCCAGCAGCTCTCCCTATCTCGCCCTGCTTGCAGAAAGAGACCTGCTAGGCAGGGCAGCACATGGCGGCTATGATCACTGGGCCATCAATAGCACCGGATGCATCTTGATTGTTGTTCTGCTTCGGTAGCCGAGGAGGCACGGCATCCATTCCTGAAATCTCTATGATGGCCTACGGATGAAGCCGGCATCTTGAGCGATTTTCCCTGTGCTAATCCAATGCATTTGGCTTGTGTGGCACAGCAATGGGTCGTGGTCGAGATGAGGTTCCTCTTTGCGAGCCGCGTCGTATGTCTGCTAAAGGTTGTTAGTTTGGAGCATGTCTAAGCAGGGCTCTGCTTTTGCTACGACCCACAGGCAACACACTCCCGATGGATTCTTGTGGGGGTGAGGTGGAGTGAACATCAGTCTCGACATCAGGGACACTTGCAAAAAGCGGCATTGCTTCGTGTGTTCACTCCCGCATGCTCCCAGCATCAGCTCCCACCAAAATTCAATACGGGTTTTTGCAGTTAGAGAAGATAAGAATCCGTGGGACCTGGGCTTTGGCATTGTAGAGGTCAGTCAGCCTGCAGTGCCCCAAATCAGTGCGGCACTCAGGCCACGCCCAGCACTTGCACACTTCTGGGTGCGCTGCAGCGCCGTTGGAGCAGTTGGCGCTGTCAAAGCTGGCGTAGCTGTCCCTATTCTAAGGTATACAGATTTATCTAGGCACTTCAATGGATTTCAGGCAAGGAAGCATGCGACTTTTACGGAAGATGCTGTTTGCATGCCACTTGTTCGTTTTAGGCACCGCAAATGCAGACAAACATCCCTGACAGAGCAGACTAGCTACCACATTCGTCTACACTGTCTTGTTCATACATCTGCCACCTGAAGCGAGCTTTCAATGGCGCTGCCCGAAAACGACGTTCGAGTTAGCATGGATAGAAAAGAATCGAGTCCGTGCTGGGAAGTGGGCGTAGTACCTGTCAGGGCCTGATAAGTGCCATACGATCGAGCTGTGCTGTGTGTTGGAGGCATCCATCCACGCCGTGACAAGCAGGCTGAGGGCGGAGCGCAGGCATCATGATTTCTCATCGTTTGTTACGGGTCAGTTGCGGATGGGCTGGACCATGCTCAGATAGTTGGGAACCCTGTGGTCCTTGCACGTGACCCTTAACAGACATAGTTGGGGGCTTTAGTCGCGACACGCTGAGCCTTATCAAGGCTGCAGCGGGGTCCAGGGAGCACCGTGCGAGTTCAAGCTCATGAGTTCAAAATACTTCACAAGTTAGTTTCCCTAAGTAGGGGGACTTCAATATGCAGTCCTCATTAGATGGTACCCCTAATTTTTGGGAAGTCTCCCAAAGAGTTTGGGGGTGGCCGTCTGCGAATCTCACACGGTGCTGGGGCAAGCTTGGGGTTTTGCCAGTGCATGCGAGTCACCGGCAGCCTGGGATTCAGAAACAGACTCAAAAAATCCGTGACCTTTGCTGGCACTATGTATGCTGTACCTTTACAGCTTGGACAGTGAGCAAGCCCCCATGTGATAGAAAGGCAGCTCTTTATTCATCCACATACTTGAAGTGATGGCCAATAGCAGATTTACATACCGTGAGTAGAGAGGTCTTCAAGAAAGTTGCATTGGCCAAGCAGGAACCAGAAAACAAACCTACTGAACCGCTCCAGCCACGTGTGCTCGCTTCACGACTTTTTGGGCCTGGGCTTGAGGGCGGCATGTGCTTTGTTTGCCTTTTCCGCTGTCGCTTGCACTGATTTTTGTCCAATCAGCCTGCAATAGTAAGAGCTGCCAAGCGACCATGCGTCCTTCTCCTGGTGGGCTTTGGCCTGGTGGTTTTATGCTGCGCCTCCTTGGCTTAGCGGCACCATGGGTAATATGGGCGCAAAGTGCCTCCGTAGAGGAGAAGCACGAGATGACGCAGGCAGTTGAACTAGCTAAAGACGGGGAAAGCAGTTCGACGCCGCTTGTGGCGACATCTCTCAATAAGGTGGTTCACACATGAGCAATGATCAATACTCGCTTATTGGGGACAAAGAATGAATGCCGTGACATGTCATGTAGGAACCGTGCACAAAGCCCCAAAAGCGATAGGACCCCCCGGAAAAGCGATACCCTCAATCTAAGACGAAAGCATGAATGTGTTTTTGGCTGAACCCCTAAAAGTGATACCCTTCCGTTAGCCCTGCACAAAAGACCCAAAAGCGATAGGACCCTCCCAAGTTGTCCATGGCATCGGAATATACAAGGAGTTTCGGCGAACGCTCATATGTGCCCCAACTACAGCGCGTCTGGCCCTGATCAGGCAGCAGAGAAGTTTGGTGCGGTGTGCCTGGATGGCACCGCTCCAGTCTACTACCTTAGACGAGGCCTAAGGATTTTCCAAGGAAACGCTGGAATCAGGGAAGAGTAGTGTAGAAGTGTGATGCCGCTGCTGCATGAGCTGCACGTGCTGACTACGTCATGTGTTGGCTTTGGGGAGGCTTCGGCGCTGGCGTGAACAAGTGGAACCTGGGACGAGAATTGTTTCGCGCATATTGTTGCGAGCCAGAGATGTAGCACTAGACATCATGTGGATCACTCATTGTTTAACTGTTCCATCCAAGTTGGAGGAGGGATAGTTACGGATGCCGACAGCCCTCCAATCACTGGCAATCAATTTGTATGGCAACTTACAAGCTAGGAAAGGGTTTGCAGCGCTGGAGACCGCAGGCGGTTGTGACTATGAGTAGGAGCGAACCTTGCTGCAGGCATATATTCCATCAAGGAGGGGGTTGGTGTGAGTCCCTCGACGACTGCGTTGCCCGTTCTAAGACAGACACTTGGATGACATTCGATGCGGGCTGATCAAAGGCTGGGTTGTCTTTGAGTTGGCGCATGCGCCTTGAAGGCACTAGGATCGTCTTCCAGCTACGGGCCAAGGGCAATGACAGAAGGCCATGAAGCTTGCTTTACGTCTGTGAAGCTTCTGTCGTTTGAGCTCTCCGTAGCACTTCGTGCTGCCAGCTGGCTACTTCTCAACGAATGCATCCATCAATCCGCTGATGCCCGTGGCCTAGACTACACAGATGGCATGTGTCATGGGATGCCCAGTCCAATCCCTCAGCAGAAGATCGCATGATGCATCCACCCAGTCTGTGCACCACAATGCCGAGGTACAACTGGAACCATGTTTTGATGATGTATTGCGGCGTCCTCAAAGACTCTTTCCGGAGTTCTCCGTAGAAAGTGGGCGACGTCCGTCCAGGTGATGGTGCCAGTTTCAGTGGCAACAACGCCACAGCCACTCGGGATATTCAAGTTTTGTTCCGTACTGGCACGGCAGGCAGTTTGGCAGCCTGGCGTGGCAATGAGTTACATCCCACTCAGGTCACCGTTCACAATGGCACCAAGCTGCACTTTCGAGGGCAGCGCATTCGGGAGGCCTTTGCGCAGGAGAGACCCGTGCAAGCAAACTTTCGAGCGCCGCAGGGCTGTTTCGGCTAGCCCTTGGAAAATAGGTAGGGTGAGGGAATGTCGGATGCTATCTTGTAGGTTGTTAGTAGGAATACCGGAATATAATCCCCATATAACATATCCCGTATTTCCTACTAAGCCCCAGTATGTATAATGGCGCAATATACTTCAGTACTTTCCATGCTCTGTTTCATTATTCCCTATATCTATATGTATATAACCCCGTAAAAACCCTAAAACCCTCAAACCCCAAAACCCCAAAACCCCAAAACCCTCAAACCCTAAAACCCTGAACTCGGGATGCATCAGAGAGCTCCAGGACCTGCTTTCAAACCAGGGACTCGCAAACGCAAGCGACGTGATCGTGTCTGGTTGCAGCGCTGGCGGTCTTGCAACATACCTCCATGTGGCTTACTGTGGCTTACTGGGGGTTAGTGGGGAATAAGGAAGTATGTTACATGGGGGTTATACAGGAATTATATCCCCTTGTTTTCTACTAACAACCAGTAAGGTGGATCAATGGTGTGCTTGGTGACTTGGCGCCTCTAGTTGATTTGATGAGGGAGGGCCGGAAGGACGCCAGCGTCACAAGGCGCGTAATAAACTTTTGGAAAGGCAGGAGCAACGCAACCGACGGAAAGGTCCACATTATACAAGTGCCGATACACAGAAACATTGGATTTTCTGTTGTTTTACTCACACGAGGTAGGTAAGCAAAGGCTCCATGCGGCTCGTCCTTCTGCAAAATGTGCTGGCCTTCCCGACAGCGGATTCTTCATTGACTATCAGGACGCGGGTGCAATCAGTAGGTCCCAGTCGCTTTTCCGACCTACATGAAACTTGAATTGACCTGAAGCAGTGTAGGGCGTGGGGGCCTACTCCGCATCCACAATGCTGGAGATGTCAATCCGCAAAGTGATCCGCGTCCAGGACCCAGAGGTGACGTGCTCTCCAGATAGCTCAGCCTCTGGACTGCTCACGGAGACCATCAATGGAAACTATCACTGCGGATTGCGGTGGAACCTCGCCAAGTAAAGGGGGCATAATGAAGGGGGCATAATGAAGGCGGCCAAGCTGAAGCGGGCCTTTACCGCTAGTCTAGAGGCATGCGAGAACTACAAAAGCGACTTCGCAAATCATAATCGGCAAGCTTGCCGAGCAGATCCCAGATGCTAGGTGCATTTCGTGGTTGCCAATGCAAATTGCTTAAGGACTTTTTATGCGCAGAACGCCACTTCTGGCATGAACTGGCGCTGCCTGGAAAAGAACAGGAATCAGGAGCGGTGATGCAGAATTGGCTGACTTGCACGCTCATGCTAATCCTATTTCAGTTCTGCAGCAATTGGCCCTTGTCAAAAAGAGTGGTAGAAGGACTGGCACGCCTGAAAGAGAGAAGTGCAGGAGTGGAGATGCATGTTTGCCGAGCATGTGGCTCCGTTCATTACAACACCAACGTTTGCTTTGCAATCTATGTATGCTCCTTGCCTGCACCTCTCCCAGTGCCAGGATACTACTTGCATAGGTGCTCAGATATGGTGGGTACAGTTGGGTACGCTGCATCTTCTTTGGGGCTTTTATGGTTCATCCTTTGCTTGGGCTGTGGTCATGGTTAGGTGTCATTAGGCGTCCCTCGGCGCATGGAGACGTAGAGCGTTCGCATAAACGTGTCGCGACAAAGCATTGAGCGAGCCAGCTCTGCTCCTCGTGGGCTGAGGGCTGTGAAGCTGACAGCGATCCAAGACTCCTCTTTCCATTTGGGCCGAAATTACGTACAAGAAATGCAGTGAAGACATGGCGTGCATACCCTTGCCCAGCACGATGTCTACAGGCTTTAAAGCAGCAACAACATCAAAAACACAATATGCAACAGCAGCAGCCGCTGATGAACAGCATACTCGTAGGTGTAGGTTCATTTAGGGCGATATAGGGCGATGCTTGAAGTGGGCAGCGTTTCCCAATCCAAATCAGATTGGCTGAGCTCAACGATTGACGAAGTAGTGGCCCCCGAAGAGGGAAGTCACTTCGGCTCAGGATTCCTGGCAAACGTCTCATGTCCAAGGGACGGGTGGTGCTAGCAAGACGCAAGTTCTCGGCAAGAACATCACCACTCGTCGCTCGTCAGCAGATCAAGGTCGTGCTTCTTAATTTAGAATGCACAAAGGCACAGAGCGCAGTGTCAAAATTTGAGTTCATTTGCAGTGCTGCAAAGATGAAGACGTTTAAGGGGAGATTTGAGGTGCCAGAGTCTCACCATGGTATTCGTAAATGTGCGCGTAGGGCGTCCGCCCTTCCCATGGCCTCTTCACACAGGCCGCGTCAGGCAAGACTGACAGGCCAGGCTTTTTCAAGACGCGGTCGATCGCTGTAAGGTCTGATGGGCAACCTGCTGTACAAAAACCCGATGTCCGGTGCTTTCCTGGAGCCTTGGCTGTTAAGCGCAAGTTTCACTCAGGGGTGGACTTTAGTTCGCCCCTGATTCAATTTACCGTACCGCGCTTAGCCTTAGCCAATGAACGACACTTGATAGTTCGCCTTTTCAGAGCTAGCATGAAATCCTGGAACCAGGAGCAATAGACCAGAACCCAGAGAAGGCACAAAGTAAAATACCAACTCGATCGGCCATTATCGGCTACTTCTAAGTGTTGGCTCGCATCTACATCAAGCAAGGATAGCTGTTGGCACCACTGCGGCAGCTGGAATTCCATTCGAATTGATGGCGACCTAGTGTCTGCAGCAGTGGAGATTCCTGGCATAGATTTTGGTGTAGATGGAGTGGCATCTCATCTCATGATTTGGCAAGAACATGGTAGAGCTCTTGTAGAGCCGGCTGAGATACAATAAAATGTTTCTGGACAAACGTGAGCTTGATACCTGCTGTCAAAAACGGTCTCGCGGGACAATCCTTGGAATTTCAACCGCGATCTGCTTGAAGACCAAATTCTGACATTCTGCAACGCATATCCCGCTATGGGATGCTCACCCGGATCTTCGCATGAGAGGTTCGAGTGCTTCAGATTCCTTGGCTATTCAGACTGTGATTGCCCTGTGCAGACTGAAAAATGGACTTGTTCGGAGGTCTAGCCTGCTCATAGTATCTAGATGCGCAACCCACAAAAATATGTTGATCATCCCCCGATCGTTCTGTTGGCAGGCTATCTGCACGCGAATGCGTCGGGTAGCCATCCAGATAACACCCTCCAAAATGCAACGTGCAACTCGTTCTGATAGAGCCGCTGCTGCCTGCGGTGCCTGGAGCTATATTGCTTGGAGGTTGTCTTGTAATTTACTTGAGCAGACAGCACCTAATGACACTGCCCTTGCTCCTGCCCTTGCTCGTCTGCGCATAGGCAGCGACAGAATGAGCGGTCACAGTGAAATGGATTGTTAAGCCCTGCGAGCCCGGGATGGTAAAAAAAGCCTGTTGGAAATGCGTTGCGAGGGTGGGGGGCTAGGCAAGCCAATTACATTCCAGGATGTATCTAACAATTTGCAGACTGAATTGTAATTTGCCGTGTCCCTTCTTTTTTGGCTTTTGTCATGCTACACTCTGCGCATGCATGCTACAAGATTCTAGGAATGCCGGGCTAGTGAAACACATTCTCGGTCAGAACTGACATTTTCACATGCCGAGATGGTGTGCGATATGTGCGATGCTATCAGAAATCCTACAAACGTAGGCTGCGCCAACTGAGGAAGTGGTATAATGGCATACAGCTACCTGACAACGACTTCAAGCGACTGTGGAATCAGAATGAAAACTTCCCTTGCCGCGACTGTGTCTCAGCTCGTTTCAGAGCAGCCCTTTATTTCATCAGGGTCAGTTTGGAAGGTGAGAAAAGTGAATGAACAACCTTGCATTGTGGTGCGCGTGAGTTTTCTGCATCCCTATGCAGCAGAAGGCCTGCAAGAGCGGGTGTCGTTCTAGGAACAAATGAGCTAAGCAGCAAACTGCGATGCGAGATTTGAAGCAAGCCTAGCAAGACTGAAGTGCTACTGAGGCTGCCACCCAGATCCTGCACTCCTGATGGTGGTGTGAGGGCGAGCCTACGATGATTCCTGCTAGCCTGCAGGGTTCATGGAAGACTCGTTAGACAGATTGAGTCTCGAAGCTGGAGGTCGTGCTACAGATGCCCGTCTATGGAGCTCAGTAGGGAGCAGGCCGAGCAGGCTGCAAGCATGCGCAGGGGACGTTTGAAAAAGGAGTGTTTTCCAGAGAGCGCGTATGCACAAGCTAAGCCAGAACATCTAAGAGTGTTGCAGGCTTTGAGTTCACCCGCTGTCCTTCGCAAAAAACTGTGGCCAAACATCGATACTATGGACATTGTAGTTGAGCATCATGGTGGAGAGTACAATCCAGGTTTAGTTTGTAGGCTGCTTGTCCGATTGTGCTAAAATTGCAATAAATGTCAGACATGTCAGCTCATTCGATCATGTATTGCAACCACTCGCCTCCGATTCACAAGAGTCCTTGAACATAGCAAAAAAGCCTGTCAACTTCACCGTTTGTACAGGGACTCTAGTAGCGGGAAGTCCTCTCAGAATTGCTCTCGAGCGGCCGTGCACTGCTGAAGCGTTTCTGCAGCGTCCGCCCCTCCAGCTTCAGGCGCTTGCGTAGAACAATTAGACAACCGGTTATCATGTAGCCCATTCCTCCGTACAGGAGACATCCTCTCTACAACAACACTTAGACCTGGATTTAAGCACGCTGCCAAAGCTGCCGAAGCATCCTCGCCCCTCTGCTGCCACAGCCTCAGTGTCAAAGACGAGGGCTTGCCAGGACAATTGCGCTGCAACTCTGGAACTGCACTACGAGGTTGGCAAAGATTGCCGAAATGCCGGGGGCCATGTCGCCTGCCGGTATTCTCTTGATGGAGGACACAATTGTGCGAGAGAGACCAGGTCTGAACACGTCAAACAAAGACTCCTGGATGTTGCAAACTCCCATGGCAAAGCTCCACCACGCAGGCTTGAATAGGCTCAGAGCTTCTGCCGTCTGCCCATGAGCTATAGGACACCCTCAACAAGATGATCTACAAAGATGGCCGCTCGCTTGGGAAGAAGAGGTTTCTTTGTGTTCTTGCCTCCTAGTGAGATTTTGCTCCGCGGCGCTAGGGTATGACCTTCAGCAGTGAGTCTGATATTCAGAACCTTTCTCTTGGGAGGAGTGCCAGCTGTTGGTGCGCATAGCCTCATGCAAAGCAGTGTGGGTAATTAGTCTTTACCCCGAAGCCTCAAACGGCGAAGCCATGAATCTGGCAAGCAAAGCGTAAACCGACGAAGTTCCTCCCGCCAAAGCTTTTGAAGGCTCTAAGCAAGGTCTTGTTGACTCTCCGTGTCTTCCAGTGATCATGAAGTCCTGGCGTGCACTGATTGTGGCTGCTCTTGCAGCTGTCCTTGCTGGCCACCTTCAGGGTTGCAGCGAAGAGGAGCCTGACACAAGCTCCGGCAATACAGGTGATGACCACGATGGCCATGACCATGATGACCATGATCATCATGATCACGATTCGCACGGCGACCATGACGACCATGACAAGCACAATGACAGCGATGACCATGGCCACAACGAGAGCCATGACAACGACACCCATGACAATGACACCCACTGAGGTTGTGTGTCGTAGCGATTCTCACACTTTTGACAACTTTGCGGGGGCATCGCTTGTTTGATAGCTCGTAAGCTGGTGATCAGGCCTACAGGCCTACAGGTAGCTGCGCGAAAGTCCATTCTAAGTTTGGGGTTTCAGATTTGTCCCGCATCATCCTCCACAAGTAGAATTGCTATCGGTGAGCCTCCGGTGTCTTCAAGTTATGATGTGGTCAAAGCTCAGCTTCTGTGGGGACTTACTTTAGGGGCATTGTACGCAAGAAGCCAAATAGCACCTTTGAGAGATCCTCTTCAGTAGCATGAGCTGCCACGTGTGCAGACTCCAAGCCTATTGGAGTATGAGGGGTGATCGTTCTGCACCACGGAAACCACTGTTTCAACAAAAGTAGGTCTGAAGCGCTAGGAGCTTATTTTTTCCCAGCGTTTAGAAACTTCGTGGTTCCTATGACAGCCGAAGAGACCAGAAACAGTGGCAGATGGGCAGGCACCTGCCTTCCCATAAGCACCAGGGAGTAGAAGCCTTGCTGGGCGACTCCCTGTAAACAGACTTCCTGAGTGGAGCCAGACAACAAGCTGCCCCGTTGCAGGTTCTTTCTGAGCTAGGCCCCTAGGCAGGCTAGCATAAGGCTAGTCCAGGACAACTTCAGTACTGATCATGTTGGGACAGCGTACAGTTGCTGGCTAACGCATCTACCCTGATTAACTAGAGTCAGCTGTGAGTAAAGAATTCATCTAGGGTTTAGACAAGATGCCCCTGTCCAAATCAATGAAGCGAATCAGAACTTGGCTATTGCACTGCATGGATTGGAACCCTCACGTCTGGGCCTTCATCTTATGCACTGCCACCGCAAGTTCAGACTCGCCTCTCGAGCTAGCTTGGACCCAGACCAAGGCTCCGCCCAAGCTAACTTGGCTGTAGTCCATTCGAACCAAATGCGCATTGCGCACTTATGGGGCCAGAGTGTGAGCTAGAGTTCGGCAGACAGCCCCTTTCAAGCGGATCGGCCTGAGGGTAAGGGCCGCAAGCGGATTCACAATGCAAAGTAGATCCACTATTCATGAAGAGGGCAGTGCAACGCATTGTGGTTTAAGCCCGCCATGCAACACCTGACCTTGCCAAGCTCTCAGGTTCAAGAAGCCTGCGGCGTGACAAGGAGCGTGGTTTGCTCCCGCGGGGCTCACACTCGTGGCTGCCTTTGAGCAGGAAGCGCATGCCAGCCATGCATGAAGGATAGTCTGGCGCGTTCCTCTCTGACACATGACTTGCAAGGTCTGACAAATCTCCTGGGATCCGCTATGCCATGTTGAGGGTTTGTAATGCCCCCTCATACGCATTTAGACACGGCGCTCGATTTCTATCCTAGTCACATAGAACTAGCCCCAACGTTTCTGAATCATTGTTCTGCTCACCCACTTGTGGCTGCTCTCCCTTTTGGCATTCCTCCTGTGGCTCTGCTGAGGTGCTTTGGTGACTTCCCTCCAGACCTGCTTCCGGAAAGGCGCACAAGCCCATAAGAGCTGCTTGCAAACTTGACGGCAAAGGACGGATATCGGATTGCGAGCAGAGTAATTGTGTAGGCGGTTGAGACGCTTGGTTTCCTTGGACCATTGTGGCTGGCCATGATTTTGTGGCAACGGTGTGCACTCATTGTGAATCTGAAAATGCAGACTTGCTGCTTGATCTCTTTCCTGGCCGCGCGCAAGCCTAGCAGTCAAAGATTGGACGGATTCTTCAAGCCGAAAGGCTTTTTACGCATTGTTATGTTTTCAGAATTCAGGATGTGTTACTATTACAGCCAGTATGCTGAAACGAGCCCATTGAGTAGCAAGACGTCTGGAAGGCCACTCAGACGGTGCCAAAGTGCTCCGCGGGCACGCGACTGAGTGTAAACATCAGCTCCAAGAAGGCAGCTTCTTAATTCACACGCGGAGCTTGTAAAACCTCAGGTGCGACCACCGCCGGGTATGGCGACAACGCAGGTGCAAAAGAGATTTCTGAATTGCCAGAAGACCTGTGATTCATTTCGCATTTCACAGGCTCCATTGCAAAGACCAGACGCGACCGTCTGGAACCTTGGAGAGTGTCAAGTCCTTGCAACTCACCTCACCTGTCTGGCCTGCTGTCTCGACGCCCCAGGCCAGACCGAAGTCCGCCGGAGCCCTGGTCGGCTTCCCAGTGACATATTGTTTGGTTTGGCTTTCCAGGTGGGCCAGAGTTGACTCACCGCATAGCAGGATTTCGGCAAAATATACATCATCGCTGATGGTACGTACTGCTGTGGCGGGGATGCGGTTGGCACGACAGAATGAAAACAGCCAAGCATAGCCAAGCATTGCAATTCCCTGTCCAGCAGAGCACGCAGAGTCCGGATGCCAACAAAAGGCATGCATGGCAAGGCGTGGGTAAGGTCAAGCAAAATCAGTGTCTCTGCTTTGGCACTCTTATCATGAGGGTCTACATGCGCTGCAAATCAACATGACGAAGATCGCACAAAGTGCAGCGAGATGGCCCGCTATTCAGTCAAATCTGTCATCGTAGCAGGGAGTGACCGGAACTCGAGCAAAGCTGCAACAGCTGGGCACTCAGGGGCTCCGCAGCGTAAGGACTTTCCCCTCATCCCAGAGCAAAGAGCAGCAGCATTTGAAGGCTATCTGCAACTCGGACTATGCGAAGGCCAGCTTCCGCTACAATCTTGTCCATGCCCCGGCACGTGAGTAATTTTGAATCCTCGGTTTGTTGTCGTAAGTGCTGATGTTGCTACGACTGCTGTTGCTGTACTAAACAACAAGATTTTGGAGTAGCATTCTGTTGCAGGGCGTCACTTTTGCTCCGTCTTTTGCAGTGGTTTGCTGGAATTCACAATGTTTAGGATCTTGGCGAGAAAGCCTCCCCTTCACATGAAGCTATGTCAGCGGGCCACGGAGCCCGTCCGGCAAATGGTGTGAAACCTTCCGGTTTCTAACCCATCAGATAGCGTCAACCGCCGCTCTCGGCTTTGCCTTTGCACAGACTGCCCTGGCAAACTTGCAACAACAAGACGGTCGTTAATCATATTGAATCTGTGAATCCCTTAATTCCATGTTGCAAGGTGCACTTGTTATCAAAACTCATTACCGTCCTGATCACCAGCAACAGCAGGAATGCTTTGCAATGCCAATCCCAGCTAAGGCGGCCTGTGGATCACGGACCTCCGCGTGCAGGGGCTACCAGGTCTTCGGGATTCCAGAAAGGGAAGGTTCGAGCTAGCTGTACTCATGAGCTTTTTGCATGATAAATCTGACATTGTCAATTAAGTGGTGCTCAGAAGGGCACTGCCGTTGATTGCGTGTGCCGTCCCGGCACACAGGAAGTATGTAGTGTGCAAATCTACTAGACGAGAGCTGCAACGGCCAGAAAGTAGTAGCAGCAGCAGCAGCAGCACCAGGAGCAGCGCTAAAATCTTGTGAGTCAGGGTGTGTTGTTGCTTTTGTCGCCGTCAAGTTGCGTTTGGCAACGCGGTACAGTACTACAATCGTTGCCCATTCATGCCTCTGCCATTGCAAAGCACATCCAAAGACTGCTAGCAAAAGCAGGCGGAAGCCAATCAAGCCGTCAATGCTCACTCCCCGGTCTAGCTGGCAGCCAGTGTCCAGCTTGAGCGTTCCGGTTTGTTCCGGTTGTTTGCCTGAGATGTGCAGATGAGACGCAGAACAGTGCTATGAGCCTGACAGCTTGAGGTTGCGAGTCTTCTATGAGCGGCTGTCTCAGATACCCTTGCACACATTCTTTCGAGTGCGAGTCTCTTCATTCTCTTTGTATCCTATCTGCTGTATTGAGATTGTTGGTGCCAGGAGAGGTGACCTGCCCGTTCAGATATACCACGGCTCTATGGGCCGGACTCTCTGAAAGCTGTGCCATCAAATTGCTGTGGCCTTGCTTTGGAATGTGCAGGCCGCCTGCTGTGGAAGGTGGATGCCGCAGACCTAGTCGCTCTTGATGCCCAGCCTTGTTGCTAGCGGACCTTCTGGAAGATAACCTACAACCTAAGGTTGAAAAACTCGACTATCACCACTACCTGCCAATCTTCTTCGACGGGCTGCGCGAAAAAGAGGATCCGTTCAGGCCACCTGCAATTGCCCGTGGCACGCTTTTGGCCTGCCAACTGCGGCTAGCATCCAGATTCCTAGCAGAGTTACAAAAGGAACCTCCCTGTCCTAGAGGTTTATGGCTGTGACTGGAGCTTACGACATGCTGGAGAAGGTCGGGAAAGCTTTGCTGACCTCCGTTCAAGAAGTTTTGGAAACAAATTCAGGTCAAGACCCTGCAAACATCTGGCAGAACCATGGTGGCTCTACTATAAACTCGAGAGATGCATAAGATGTCCATCATACAGGCATGCAGGACAAACTCTAAGTGTTCTCGCAAAGGGGTCCCAAAAATTTATGAGCCGCTTTGCAACCCGTCAGGGAGGCGACCGCATCCTTCCAGTCTGGTGCTGAGAAATTGGCAGGTCTTAAGTGTAGCCGTCGATCATGATTGCTGGTGTCCTGGGCATTGAGCTGTAATGGCTTAATTGCCTCTTTCTGAAGAAAGCATAGTCCGGGTAACACGTTGCTTCTCTTGCTACCCGAACCTGTAGACATGCAGGATTTCTTTTGTTTGTAGCAGTTAGTCAAGTAGTCCAATTCCAAAGGTGATCTTGCAGCTCCTTCTGACTTCATTGGTGGGATTGTGTGTGCAACCAGTTCTCTATGACCCACATCGGTGCTGAGATGCCAAGCACAGAAGTAGCAAGACAGAACAACTTGAGGTAGTGCCTCAGCTGGTCATCCCGCTGAAGAGCGCTCTAAACACACGCTGGGCCCCAAGGGCAATTGATGCTCGACATCGTCGAGCTGAGAGCCTGCTCAGGTGATCCTCAGATCATGTGCACCACCATGAAGTTGATGCAGAAGCTGGTTCTGAGTGGAGCTGCTCGGCTGACCTTACATCACTATGATGTCAGACCACTTCCAATCCTCGTGAAAACTCGGCGCCGTCAGGAGATGATCGGAGAGGCGTGGCCAAAGTTCCTGAGTTGAGCCACATAAAGCAAGCGTTCGGCCATGAATAAGCGGTCAACCTCCTGGAGAATTGTTCCGGTCCGGTTGTATCCCTTTGCCCAACATTTTTGGCCTACTGAGCAGTGCTGCTGGATGTCTTTGCAGGCCTTGGTGCCGTACTACAGGCAGCTCTTGTCCCTGGCCTGTGATCTGTAGATTTGCAAGTCAGACCCGCATCCACACGCGTCCGGGGAGCACTAGCTGCCACTAGCTGACTAGTTGACCTGGCCTTCAAACAGCTCGAAGTCAACAAGCCGTGCCCAGGGCCTCCCAGGATTTTTTTCAATGATGCAGATTGAACGTCAGCATGCTATCGGGCAGGCTGCTAGATCCACTGTGATGCTTGTTCACCCACATTGTAAAGTGTTGGGGCTTTTGGTGGCACAAGCTTGCTAAGGCCGGTCTTCTGTCTCTTCAAAGGCAAGAATATTCCAACGAAGGAGGGTCTCTGGCTTGAGCGCTGGCTGGCAAAATCTTGCAGTCTGCGAGGACATGGGAGACTACATGGATTACGGCCAGCGAAAGAACTTGAACTTGGGCGATCTGATTTCGGATCCCCGGCTGCGGCAAGGGTTGCAGCATTTTCACGCCCAAGATGCTTGTTTAGGCCCTCCTATACCCAAGTCGTCAACATGACTCCGTAAAGTCTGAACCTGGGACGCGACGACCGAAAGCTACCTTCATGTGCGTTTCCACTGCATGTTGAGACATGGGCGTGTCTCATGCGGAGCTGAGGAGACTCTCCAGATCTTGGAAGAGCACGGAGGACATTCGTACCAGAAATGATTTGTGGGGTTGAGACAGTCTGGGGTAGCGTCTTGCAGTTTCCGCAGACCAATTTCTGTTTCTTTGGAACACTGGCCGAATTGGAAGGCGAAGACGCCTTCATCAACATCAAGTACATGGTTCCCACATACGAGAGCGCAGTTCTTTGTGGCGCTGCTTGGAGGAATTTAAGCCGCAGTGCCATGCATTGTGCCTGGGTGGAGGAAGGGATTAGAGGTGCATTGTCCCAGGCATAGCCGCTCAATCGGCTCAGTCCCTCACTCTACCACCCAGGCCTTGGTTCGGCCGCTCTTGATCCTGTTTGTTTCACTACGCTGTCATTGGGTTGTTGCCGCAAAGCCGCTGGACTGGCACAGCATATATAGAGTTCTGAGAAGCAAAGCAAGTATAGTTCCTCAACAGTCCAATCCTAGTGGACAAGTTGAGCAGACACAGACAGTTAAAGCAGCTAATCAGCTAATCGCCATTTATTTGGCTTGCAAGGCTGGCTCAAGGTTTCTCAGCTTCTCCGGTCAGGCTTAGACTCTGGATGCGAGGTGAGCGATGGCGGGTGCAGGGAGGATCCGAGAGTGGGGGCATTCTTGTAAGAGTTGGACGCAGCCTCACTTCAGAACAGCTACCTGACCTGGCCTCAGGAGACTCTGTTGTCCCGCAGATTTCTTGCAAGCCCTGCCAGCAGATTTGCATTGAGGAACGCCTGTCTGCTGGTGCACTGGTACGGGAGTTGGAGCTCGTTGGAGACCGACTCCATTACGAGAAGCTCTCAGGCCGCTGAAGCGATTGGGCGTGCAAGATGCTAAAGTCTAGTCAATTCTTTGATAAAAACTCAGGAAGGTTCTCTTTTCTCTTCGGTCTGCCTTTATTGGTATAACTGGACTGCACTACCTATGTCCAGGTGAGTTCGGCTATTCACCTTTCAAGCGCGAACAACCGTTCCCCACCAGACCCTCATGGGCTTGAGAGAAAGTTTCTCATACGCTTTGCGCTGTTGAGGCGGTGGACCAAAAAAAGGCTGGATCAGCACAAAGTTGCAGCTTGGGAGCAATCAAATATTCTTCTAATTATTTCCAGTGTCACCAGCACAAAGATTGAGTGGCTCTTCTGGTCGTGGTGAACCTGAGGAAGGACAAGAAGCTCGTGGCTCGAGCAGATAGACATACTGAGCCCACACATCACTGTGAAGGGGAGACTGGAGTCAGGATATGGGCACTGTCCGACATACATACCGACAAGGCCGAGAACCTGAAGTGGATTCAAGACTTGCCTTCAGCTGAGTAAACTGACCAACTCAGCATTCCATTTTTCCCGGACGGTGAAGGCTGTTTGCGCGGTATCAAACTCACTCTTAACCTTAAATGTTTTGATTTCAGTGACCTCGAAGACTGCTCGCCAGATGCCCAAGGTTTCAGAATGATGTTCTGATCTTGGCTGGTGATGTTGCCAATACTTTGGAAGTTCTCCAGAATACCCTGCTGCTGCTGAAGCAAATCTTTTGGCGGGTATTCTTTTGTCCAGGCGTCCTGGTAGCAATGATCTCCTCGCAAGTGGCTCATAGGCTTGGCTGTGTTGGGCTGCTGGTGGTAGCAAATGCACGGCAAGGTTTCTTCAGAGTAATACAGTCTGGCATTGGCTTTCTTTTTCCTTGTAGTGGTAACAAATGAGGCAACCATGATCTTTGGATGCATGGGTGGCGTACCGGCAATTCGCTTGACAAGCTGAATGCAATTTGGGATTTCTGCAAGCTGCATGATGTGGCCCCTTGACTGATTGGGTCGCTATTCATCTGATCTCACGGGGTGATGCTTGGATGCGCGCAGCTCCATGCCTTGGGAAAGATTGTGCACTCAATGTGGTATGGATCGATTCGCAGTCTCATTTGTTCTCAGTTTTCGGCGAGGAAACCACAGCAGGCGTGATCGATGAAGGTGCCGGGCTGAATATTAGCGAAAGCTTTGATTTCAGCAGTTCTGTCCTTCTGGTTGTGTTTCTTGTCTCGACGCAAAGGGCAAAAACGCGTTCTAGTCGTGCCGCTGGTTTCTTGGCACCACCCGCAGTGGGATACTGAGCCAGAACTGGTGGAGTGGTCGAACGTGCCAACGGTAGGAAAAACTGTGGCGGCCGCTTGCCAGCTCTTGACAAATGTTTAGGGACGACGTGAGTGAACCATGTATGGTTGCAAGGCCATGGTCGCAATGTTGGTCTAGCTTAGGACTATTGGTCGACAAAGTGGCCAGAGCCTTTGCAAATGGAGGACGGCTCTGTGGCGCGAGCCATGGATGAGTTGAACGACAAATGTACAGGTTTGAGGGTGCCAGAGAATGGAAGCAGAGGGCATGATAGGATATGATAGGTCTCTCCAGGGTGTGTGCCTTGTGATGATTGCGGAAACCCTGACCAGGTTGGGCAGAAGCACTTCAACGCAGAGATGAATTTGATGCCATCATCTCATTCTCACACTTCGTGCCGAGACTGGAGTGGACCACTGAGAACTACGCATGCGTGGTTTAGAATGAGTCGACCTGTTGATACTCCCAATGATTTTGAGGTTGGTACCGGAGAAGCGGTACTTGATACCCGCCTGCCTCTCCAAAGCCGTGGGGTCCGCCTACCTGCAGGAGAGGGTTGCCAGGTTGAAGCCAGACGTCCATGTGTTCGGCCATACTCACTTCGGCTACGATATGGAAATCGACGATACGCGCTACCTGCAGGCAGCCCTTGCCACTCCTCAGGAGCGCGCGTTTGGTGGGTCCATCGTGGCCTTGGGGAGTTTCCCTGTCCTGGAAGCAAAGCCTTGCAAGGTTTGGGATTCTATCGCTGGTTGGCCAGCGCGCTACCAGAGCTCCTGGTCCGAGTACTACCGCAGGTATGGACGTAAACCGCAGGTCACTTCGATTGTCCCGTCTGTTTGTTGCAACTTCTACAGCGCAACAGCTTCAAGCAGATCTGGATGGATTTCTGGGCGCATGCCCATCTGGTTATTCGGGCCATTGCAGCACAGGCAGTACGAGGTCGGCTGACTGTTTAGTTGCTGGGGTGGTGAGGGCAAGATGCACCAAGCTTGGCAAACCTGGATCCTGCAGGCGCAAATGGTTCTGCAAGACGTGCGCGACAACACGGGCAAGGATGCGCATGACTCAAGGGTCTCTGGCGCTGCCCACAGAACGCCTCCCAGCTCAAGGGGAGAGCCGCGGTTCCTTTGTGCCAGTGATGCAATTAGCCCCTTAGCTACTTCAGAACGTGTAGGCTTATGTGGGCAGACCTTCAAATCGCTAAGTGGATCGTAGGATCAAGGGAAATGGTCGTTACACTGCTTTGTGGGTCAGCCCCACAAAATGCACGGACCTAGGAGCCCTGCAGCTTTTTCTATTCTCGCCTAGCAGCCTAGCATCAGCCTGCAACGAAGGCTTGCATGCCGAAGGTGGGTATACGTTTGTGAATGTTCGCACCGACGCCGGCACACCAGGCCTGTCCTGGATTGAATTTGTGTATCCTAGCATGCAGCTTCTGATCTACAAAAGCAAGATGCAGAGAAGACCTAGCAGCCTAGCATGTATCAAGTCAATTTGGGCATGTGAAACCTCGTCCCATAGCCGCACAGGCTTGTTGCACATCCCCGACTCGATTGTTTTGCCCCACCCGCGGGCTACACAGAGTCTCGCATCACTGCCCGATGAAGAATTGCGACTTGATCGCACAGCGTGTGCGAGCTGCTAATTGGTAATGTTGCGGATGAAGCTCTCAGAACATCTGCTTGCGTCTTAGAACGTAGGCAGAGGCTTGAGCCTTGCTCTCACATACTGAGATCTGCTGAGGCTGTGTCTCTGTGAGAACCTCAACGTGCCTTGGTTTCGAAGCAGTATATGTCTACAGCTCTTGAGAAGCGCAGCAGGTTAGAGCGCGTTTGCAGCCGAGCGCTCTGATGGACCGCTTTGCATCAGTTGCTCAGCAACACTCTCTAAAAACAGGTTAGCCATTTTGGCTAAGACCACCAAGCCGCAGACGCCTAGTTAGACAGCTAGCAAGATGAGCATGCTAGAAATCGATGTTTCAAAGCCCAATTGATTGTGGGTTGCTTGATCAAGGGCAGTTGATGACGGTTGAAGTTGAAGCCTTTGGCAGTCAAACTCCAAATTTAAATGCACGTGCCACATGGATAGACGTGGCATCGCTCGCGGCAACGTTAATGCAGGGGCGGCAGGGATGCCGGCCAGCTCATTCAAGTACTTCTTTTCAGGCGTCAAGCCCTCTCGCCACCAGTCTGGTCTTGAAGCGGCTCCCGCCCCGATGCTCAACAGGGATGCTGCTGGAAGTGCTAGACGCAATATCAGCAAGGTATAACTATGTGCATGTGCCGCTTGACCATCGCACCTGGAAAAATATGTCAATGGCTTTTATCAATTTTGTGGATCACGAGGCTGCGTGCTTGGCCTTCCAGCGGTTGTCGCGCCCAAGCGAGTTTCCAGCTGCCTTTGCTCCAAGCACCAAAGCCATATGGGGCGAAGTCCATGGTTTAGGGCCAAACTTGGCTCACTTCCTGGCACGTTACGGGCTTCCGGCGCTAGATCCTCCATATGCACCCCTTGTCTTCATTGATGGGCGATGTGTGCCTCAAGCGCGGACGGTGTTGCGGCAGTACGTCAACGCAGAGATGCTCATCGAAGCGAAGGCATTTCTTCGGAGAAGTGGCCTCCTGGAGCCCGTGGAGTCATGCTCTCGCAGCCCTTCACGCCAAGGTGACATGAGAGCCTCAATGCGGAGTTCCAGGTCAGAGACGGGAACACTGAGCCTTTCTGAAATCCATGCAAAGCTTTCCGAAATTCCAAGCTACCGAGAAGGAGGTCTCACTGTCTATGTGGTTTAAAGATTTTTGAATTAGAGCATGCCGAAGGTTGCCACTGGCCAGCTGTATCACTTCTGACTCTGTTGCAGGGCCCGTACAGTCCAAAGTAAGTTACATAAACAGCAGGCTTCGTGGCATCGCTAGTTTATATCCAGATTGGATGATGAGCTATATTTAGTTATGCTCGAATGTGTTTTTGGCCGCAGCACCGATTCGCTGATGAAGTGGCCGGTAAGCAGACTCTACAATCATAGGCTTGGCAGCATGATCTTGGCCAGTAGGAAGTCTCGGAGAACCTGTATCAAATGGGTGCTGTGAGCCAAGCTGCTAAGGCTTCTAACTGTTTTGCCTGGGAGACGCGCGCGTGAAGACCGCCCAAAAATGCTGGCTCAGCCCCGGTTCGGAGCACTTAGCCCTTGCAACCCCTTCATGCTGGGTACAGGCTAAGTGGGAGGGTAACTTGCAGAGAGCTGACCAGGCACGAGGCGACAAAATGATGGTATATGGCAGCGGCGACGACTTGAAGTCAGCCTGGGATTCCGCAATGCTGCTTGCTGGCTACTTTCGCATCTGGCCTACTGCAATGCCGCTTGGAGCAAGGCTTTGGCAAAAGCTGGTTTGGCCTGTGGTTTACATAGCTGCAGTAAGTCTTAGAGTACGGTGGTTGGTTGATGTTTCAGTTGTGCTGGCACTCCACCCAGTCCATGGCTCAAAACAAGCCAGTGGTAAGACATCTTTAGGGAAGAGATGAACACATGTGCGCGTTCGGGCTGGCTCCGGAGTTGTTGGTCCATTTGGTCCAATCTTCAGACTGAGGACTGTTCTGGAAGGAGGCCTAGAAGCTTGGATGGAGAAGGGTGGTCCGCTGGAGCTGGCATAGCACCTCAACAAGGCCTGCACGATGGAGGGCGTCTGATGACTGGACATCCTCGTATTTCGCTCTGACTCCCAAACCCGGTGTGAAGCAATTCAGCAGCAGGGCGCAGACTCTCAGGTGTATCAAGATCCAGTTTCTACATGATCGTCCTTGTTGTTCTGGGCTTTGGCCTGTACGTGAACGCGGCACCTCTACTGACCGTGGGCAGCAGCTCACGACAGGAAGATGGCATTCTTCTGCGCCTTCACGAAGCATCTCTGCAAGTATAGACGGCTTGGCGGCCCGGCCCATGCCTACGGTAGACTCTTTCCGCTTCAGTGAGCAGATCTTTTTTGTGCTTGAAAAAGGCTGCGGCTTCCAGTTCTGCCCAATGAACGAGTAGCGGCATAGCACTGCCACATTTTTTCGCCAAGCAGAAACTTTCAAGAGACATTCCACAGGTCATGGAAAGCGTGAAGTAACGCCCTGCGCTTTCTTCTGAGACCGGGCAGGCAGGGAATCTCCCGCCAGCAGAACATTCTGCATGACCTGTTGATGCCGCCAGGAGCATAGAACACACCAAGTGTACATGAGCATGGTAAAAGAGCAGGGGCATTGTTTTGAGGCTCCACACTGGCATCCTTGTAACCTTCCAAGTCTAATGAACCGTTTTTGTGGCATTGCCCTTTGCGATCAAAAATCTGGTTTGTTCCGCAAAGCATGTCTGGGTCATAACTAGACTCTGGAGGGAAAGAGATCGCAAGGTCTAGTCCCATGTGCCACATGATATGTCAGCAAGCCTGCCCCAGGCCTGAGCTGACCTTGGAGTAAGTACTCCGACTTTGCTTGTGAAAGGTAGGTAGGATGACGTCTTGCGCTCCCAGGAGCATCTGCCTAGGCCTCAGAAACATTCAGCAAGCTTGGATCACGAGGAACGCAATCGCGACAGACCTTAAATCAGGAGTTATGTCTCACCAGCTGTATGCCCTTGAATTCGTCAAAGCAAGCCTCCCGTTTTCAAAAGAAATACACGCACAAATGTAACATGAAACAACGGATCAGTTTTTCGTACTCGTATTGTTCGAATCTGTAGAATCATCAACAAATTACTCAAATAATAGGTGTTGTGTTACGATATCCGAAATCTAGCAATTCGCTCTACGTTAACGAGGAAATGATGAGCCCACGCTGCATATCGCAGCGAAAATTAATTATCTAAGAATAGAGATGAAAGGATACGTCCGGCTGGGAGAAATAATCGATTTCCGACAGAATGTGATGACCAAAGTAAGATCAAGTTTACCTAGATAAGAGGATGCGGGCTAGGCCGCGATTTGGCTCTGGGCCAATCTGTCAGCTAATTTCGAATATACCTCAATAATACGGTGCGGCCGGTTGCGGCCATTTCGCTCGCGAGCAGCCTATTTTTTCCGGCTCACCTTTAAAATGCCTCTTGCGGGCCCCCTAGGGGCTCTAAAACCTCGGAGAAGTCTTTCGGAAAAGCTAGAGGCTCTAAAATCTCCGAGATTTTGGGTGTAGTGGCGCGACCAAAAATCTCAAAGATTTTTGGTCGCACCGCCCCTGGAAAGCGGTCTTCCGCCTGATTTATCTCTCTTTGGCTGTCTGTGCGGCTGCTCGGAGGAGCGCATAGATCTAGGACGGAGAAGATTTTTCCGAAATTATAGGTTGGCCGCGTCTGTCTGCGCGGATTTATGCGTTCTCCCAAGCCGTCGCATAGAATCTAAGAGAGTGGAAAGATTGGGCCGGATGAGGGGCCGCGCGACGAATAATTTTTTCGTTATTTCGAATTATTTCTTTCGGCTGTCTGCGTGGTATCTCGGCAGAAGTTGTAGATTCGGGATGGAGATCTAAAATCTTGATCTTGCGGAATTTATAGATAGCCGTTTTTAATATATGCGATTTTATTTGATCTATATGGTTTCTTTTTTTGTAGTCTGTACGACTACTCAATAGATATATAGATATAGGACGGAGAATAAAGATATTCTCAGAATTTGGAAATTATCCATCGCTATTATGAGGATTTATATATTTTTCCGAGTCGTTACGTAGATAGTCTAAGATAGGTATAATATGGGCCGGATGAGTGGGTTGCAAATGAATATAAATCTCTAGCTCTTTTTGCTATAGGCTGCGTTGCGGAATTTATAATTCTGGGATAGAAAATTAGATTAGATTATTAATATTTATTTATAAAGATATATATATTTTGGTAGATAATCTAAGAGAGATAGATGAGGCGGCAAGACCGGGATAGATTGAAGCGCTTGAAGCACTACCAAAATTTTTCCGAGATTTCGAATTATTATATTTTCTTTTGTTGTTTGCGTGATTTCGACGAAATATATCCGAGATGGAGATCTAAAATCTTTCAGAATTTATAATTTGATCGTTTTTATTATGTATAATTTTATAATGATTATATATTGAATTTTATATAGGACCTTATATGATGATTTCCTATCGAGATTAATATTATCTAGAGCTTCTTATGTCCTAAAAAGTTGTAGAATCCTTAGCACGTAAATTGAGGATCCTAATTTTATATGCGTAGCACTGATCAGCTTCTAAAACTTGGGAGATTTTAAAGGCTTTCGGAAAATATAGAGGCTCTAAAATCTCTTTTTGCTATTTGCCGTACGGAGAATCTAAATCTTTTGGAAGCTATAGATTGGCTTCTATCTGATTATAAGGATCAATGCGCTTTCCCGAATCGTTGCGTAGATAATCCGAGAAAGGAAAATGAAGCGAGAAGATTGGGCTGGATGCTGGCGACCGCGTGCCTCGAAAATTTCCGAGATTTCGATTTCTTTCTTCTCTCTTCGGCTGGTTGCGCGGCAATTCGGCGCAGATTCAGGGTGGAGATGCCAAATCTTGCAAAATCTATTAGGTTGGTCGTTTTTGGTCATATGAGATATTATATATTGACGATTCGTTGGGATTCATGAGCGATATAATTTCTCTTTGATTCTCGGCGCGGCTGATCGGAGGAGCGTATAAATCCGGGATAGAGAATGGAATTTTTCAGAATTTTATTAGATTATTTGAATTTCAAGTGGTCGCGTAGATAGACTAAGATAAAGAAATGAAACGGAAAGATCGGATTGGATATAGGAATTATGCGATTATAAGGCCGTTAGAACAAGATATAGAATTCTCCTCGGATCTCTTGCCCTCAGGCTTGCCTCGTGGCCCCCTCGGTTTGGAGCCCGACTTTATTCTATGCCCTTATCTTATGCGGATTTGATTTAGATCTAGATGAAATAGATTTATCTCGATAATTGCTCGTAAATGCCATTACGGCGGGTCAAGATATTCCTCTGCTTCTGCGTAACCAGCTTATTCCCGCTAAAGAAGTGGCATCAGGCTGAACCAGGCGGATACCGCGGTCGAATAATCTCCAAATATAGATTATTTATAACCATTCTTTGATAATAGATACGATTAGACGAATATCATATTCATTGATTTTCTCTATATATTGATTGCCTCAGAATTCATCTGTCTGATTCATATTGATCTCATCCTGCTCACGAATATCATATCAGACGATCAATTTATTTAGATATTCATTCGCAATCCAATAACGATTCGATATACCCGTAGATTCTATCTTGAAGAAAATATGATTCTCTCATTTCTTGAAAGATCTTATATTCCAATGATTTTTGATCAAAAATTATTTCGGAAATCAATCTTGATTTATCCGAATTAATTGAATATTATTATCTCTTACTCTTAAATATTTCAGATGCTTGTTGAGCGTGGCGCTACCCCACGCGCGCTTCATGGGAATAGGAAAATTTATTTATATCTATAAATAGAGACTCTTCCTCTGATGACTTGACGATGCCTTGAATTCCTTCCAAGAATATTGAATTTTATCATCAAGAGGTCGTTGCCCAATATCTCGTGCGTCGTTTATCTCAATCGACAAGAATTATATTCAGATCTTATAATCTTACGTCCAATATCTATCATTTTATATAATTTCTTCTTATGGCGTTACGCATCAAAAATATTGAAGACGGAAGGAGATTTTATGATTCTTAGATCAAATCCTAATCCTAGGAGTCCCCGCGCTCGAATCCTTGAATTTACGAGTGACCAATCTCCCGTCCTATATTCCGCCCAGACCAAGACGATCGAGAGAAGGTTTTGCCGTGAATCGCTCTTCCCGATCCTTGCACACGCACAATAAAAAATCAGGGATTCATAAATTGATATCCTGATTGATTAGCCGGCATTCCAATAATAGATCGTGAATTTAGATACGCAAGATATATTCGATTAAATGAAAATCAAAAAAATTTGGATCTCTGGATATTATCTATATAATTATAGAAAATAATTCGATCTGCATCGATTTCAAATATCATAGCTACGAATAGATAATTACCGTATTAATCAAATAAAATAATATCATCGAAATAAATCTTGTCTATCATATAGATTTTATTCTAAATTCTAGTAACGATTCTATAGTATTAGTATTTTCTTGCGCCCCCCCTTGCGCCGTCTTGCGCGCATAGGATTTTGGGCGCTTTTCCAATCTTGTATGCAATATAATTATGAAATGGAATATGAATTCTTGCGCCTCCCTTGCGCCAGCTCGCGGGCGCAAGGGATTTTATAATCCCTTTCAAAATCCTAATGCCGACCTAATCATATTACAAGAGGCGGGATTTAGATTAATATCTATATATCAAAATTTGATTAACGATTGCATCGCACCATTGCATTTCGCACCATCCTATTGAGATACTCATCAGAGATAATCTACGATCGTTCCTAATTGCAGGGATTTAAGATCTCCAAAATATAAGGATATGATATATATAAAGATCGATTCGACAAATATCCAAGAAGATATTAAATGAAATAGAAAGAATATAAAATCAAAATCTCGGGGATTATCTTTGAAAATTCTTTAATTCATTTTTTTTCTGAAAAATCTTTAAGATCTAGAGGATTTGGGAACCTCTAGAGAATCTATAAGGAATATTTAGATAGAGAGAGAGAGCCGGAAAGATTAGATCTCATATAATCGAGATATCTATAAATATCCGTATGTTTTATTTATCATATAGTGATTTTCTTCTTATATCTATATAAGATGATCGATCGAGAAATCGATCAATAACGATAAGATCTCAGAATGATAATTCATTAGTCTTGCACCATATCATTAGATAATAAAGAAAATTATATTTATATAAATAAAATCGAATTCATTATATATCAATGAATCAAATCTAAATATAGAAGATTATAATAATCTGAATCATAATAAAATATTACGATCGATCGAGAATTATAAACGAAAGATTCAAATTATAATATGTTAAGAGCTATATATATAGATCTTATTTTCTCCATCTTTTCTTTATATGAATCAAAAAAATCTATTACCTTCCAAAAAAATCCAAATATATCGAGAATTTCTTAGAAATTTCGATATTATTTCTTTCTATATCAATATTCATAATTCATTTCAGAATCAAATTAAGACCTATAATATTTTTTTTTTCATAGAAATAATATAAATCGAAATAGAAAGAATATTAGTAAGAGAATATGAAAATTAATATCATCTATCTTTTCAAAATATTCTCAAAATAAATATCTAAATTTTCGATCTCTATATAATCAAAACGAAAAGTAGAAATCAAAAATATTTGAAGAATTTTATTTCTATTAAATTCAATTTTCCTTTTTATCGATCATCAAAATATCATAATAAGATATTGAATCAATCATTAAAGCCGTCTGAAAAAATAATTATAGCTTCCGCAATCGCCAAATTTTTCTAGCTTCCATCTTGATAAAAGAATATTTTTAACTATATCAAGAATACGGAATAAATCGCAGATTCCTATTCTCCTCCATCATCTTTGCACGTAATATCGCGTAGAGAAGTTATCAGAGGATCACTGCAATAGAGAAGATTCATAATCTTATGAAATGGAAGACCAGTATCATCATGGTTTCATTATCTCAAAATCTTCCTGAGAATATCATATCAGCTAATTAATGAATCAAGAATATGAAGATCTTCGATCTATAACGTGAATCTAGGTCTCGCCAATTCGCAAAGTTGGCAAAGCAAGAGCGAGGTTTGAGCATGAACAAATCTGAATGCGTTTATTTCTTGTGTATTATCTTTGTGGGGATTTTGATTTACCATCGCCCAATATATCCTAAGCCATGTTATTTCCCATCATTTTGATCGTTGGAACCATATCGGCATTCAAGCCCGATCTGGTGTCTGACCGCCTTCATAGCAAGTCCTCCGCTGGACTACTTGGCTTTGGAGTATTTTGACGGTCGCTCAGTTGCAATCTCCCTCAACAAGCCTCGATCTTAGCCGTATTCAGCCACGCCACTTTGGAGGTTGTTGGGTGTGCTCAGAGACTGGAGGCCGTGGAACTTTGCAGGGGCGCTCCCTGCACGCTCAACTCTACTTGGTGGCCTCCGAGTATGTACATGCATTAACCTGAATTCGCAGGCTTCCGGCAGCTTGTTCAGCCTCGCACTCTGATCCGTGGAGTTAGCACGAGCACGTGCGCAGCATGTGGCTTAACTTCAACGGACAGGGACCCACTCATTGTGCCAAAGGGTGTCTGCTCTGTGGCGGAATAAACAGCAACGGACGTGTTGTCATCAAGGCCGAACACATCCCAAGAAACGGAGATTGATTCCGTGCTGTAGCGAGGATCATTCTGAGTGATCGTGCCAGCCATGTTAACCAACGCCACGGCAACAGCACCATCTGCAAGCGGTTTAACCCACACATCTGTGAGGAAGCAGCCCGTGGTAAACACGCATCCCCCCTCCTGCTGGTTCCGTATTGCAAGGCGAGCTGCAATGCCCAGAGGGTCCTGATTGATCTTGAGCATGGCTGAATTTTTCAGTAGGCCAGTGACCCAGGCCTTCTCTGGATTCGACACATCGTAGCCAAGGATCAAAGCAGAGCTCCACATTGACCACATGGCATGCTCAGTTGCTGCTTCCCTTTCTGTCAGGCTGGATTTGGGAAAGATGTCCCTGTTGTACAGGTGGCCATCCACTCCCCCCTCCAGCATGTCTGCATATGCATATGCTCCAGGAGATGTTGAAGCTGGTACGGCCAGCACTCGGGCAAAGTACGAATAAATTTCAGCAATCCTGTGCCACTGAGGGAAATTGTCCCACAACATCCTGAACGAGTTTCCGATTTGAGGCGCAAACTCAAGGGTGTCGTCTTCACCCCAGTCGCAGATCTCCAGGTACATCGTCCTCCCGGTCGCATTTAAGGCCGCGCTGAAGTTCTGATAGCCTTGAACGCGGCCTGTAATTCGGTAGAAGGACTTGTGATATTTGCCTGCACCGGATGCGACAGTCCAACAAAAACCACCCAACCGACATCCGTGTATTCACAGACTAACAACCACATGAAACAAGCACAAGACTAACAGGCTTGGAAAGTTGCCATCCTTTGGATAGTCCACGCCCTCGAACATCCTGATAAGTTCTGGAAAGTCGTCAACGTCCAAGCCTGGAACGACCTCCCCTGGCCAACCGCAGCGGTCAACTTTAACATAGTCCACGCCCCAAGCGGCAAAAGTCTCTGCATCAATCTGGTGGTGACCCATGATCCCAGGTTGACCGCCGCCGCATGTTTTCTCTCCGACGCTGGTGTAGATGCCGAATTTGAAGCCAAGGCTGTGCAGCTGGTTTGCCAACCACTTTATGCCCCGTGGAAACTTTATTGGGTCTGCTTGCATCCGTCCATCTGAATCGCGATCGGAAGTGGCCCAGCCGTCATCGATGACAATATACTCGAAACCACTGCCCAGCAGCCCGTCGTTCTTCATAGCCTGTGCAACAGCCAATACCTTGGTCTCATTGACGTCCAAGTTGAACTGGTTCCAAGAATTCCACCCAAGAGCAGGTGATCTAACACCATTGTCATATGTCTTCCGCATCGGGGCCTGCCACAGAGCCTTTGTTTTGCTCGGATCCGAATAATCAATGCCAGGTATTGCTGTTGGGGTAAAAAGCGGGGGCGGCGTTGCTGATGCGTTTCCTTTGCAGAGCTCGCCTGGTGGGCACCGCCAATGTCGCTGCAACGCTTCTTTCACGATGTGCTCCTTCGTGGCTCTTCACTACAAGCTCAGATGCTTAGCCACAGAGGCCTATCGGCATATAGTCCGGTTGTGACCCATAAGCTAAGAAATTCTGACTGTGACGGAGGGATCAGGCAAGATTCAAACCATTCTTCCGGAGACGCTTCAGGACCAGATGTTCTGCCCGAGTTGACGTCTGAACTCTCCTGAACCACTGAGCCGTCCATGTAGAAAGGCGGACGCTGTAAAATGCTGACCTCTGAGGCATCGCAGCCATCATCAGTTGCATGGGCACGGAGCAACACCAGTTGCAGAACAAACCCTTTCATAAGCATGACTCGCTGGAGTTCTCAGGTCCAGCCACTGACAAATGCCTCGAACCAAAACGGTTGCGGTCATTTCCCATGAAAACCATCGGCTGAGCATAGAGCCGTGCGCACCATCTCGATACATCCAAATACCATGAGTCTTTTGCTTGGAGGCGAAGCCATCACAAGTTGCAAGGTCAGCTTGTTTGGCTGGCCCCCATCACAAAGTCGCTTGTGGAACCCTTGGTGAGCCAAAGCATACACAGGCGTTTTTCGACAGCCGCAGTGTCTTGGCATTTTAACATGTACTTGCGCCAAGTCCTACGGCTCGTTGACAAGCATGCTGCTTCACCTCCCTTCCAGCTAGACTGGATAGGAAGGCTTCTTTGACACAAGCACGCGTTGCCTTCGTGAATTCGGTTGGCATTGGCTTGCTGCCGGAAGAGAAACCCTCCAGAAACATGGAAGATAGAGCTGCGTTTAGATCACAGCAGCTATAAGCTATAAGGCAAACATCCGACTATCATCGGAAGGCCTTTTTAAAAGTGAGCTGCAAGGCCGTCCCAAGGGATGGGCTGCTGCAGGCCTGACTTTCCAACAACGTCTCGGTCACTGTGACCACCGTCCCTAGTGAGAGATATAAGTTGTGAAGAACTGTGCTGCTGGCTTAAGTAAGACTTCAAAGTTCTCGGGCAGCGCAGCCAGCAAAAGACAGCAGCACTCACACAGTTCAGAGAGATAAGCATACGGTCACAACTGCCCCCACCCTTCGGCGGCTGAAGCAAATTTCAGCTGGGGGCCTAAGCATTCAAAGTCGCCCTCTCCGTGGCTTGCACGACTCGCAGTCGTTCCCCTAGTTCGATCATTGTTGCTGTAAAGTTGAGAAGGCAAAACAGCATGGCATTCACAGACAGCGCGTAGCTGTTTGAGAATGGCTTGTGAGTTGCCACAAACCTGCACAAGCTTTTGACAGGTATGTGCTCAAGTGGTGTGCTTCTCAGAAGCCCCAACGCGACAAAGGACATGCTTTTCCCGGCACATGAAACCAAATCTGATCAAGGTTTCAAGCCTTACTGAACTGGCCCGGCCACCTATACAGTAGAATCTGGCGATTGAGCCCATTCTTCAACCCCTACCACACCATTGCGTAGTTTCAGAGCACGCTGGCCTCTCAAAATGCAGGCTGGCACCCACTCTGAGCTCGCCATCAGCTTTCTGAAGGTCGAACAATGCCAGGGCCGCTGCCTGAGTTCTTACTCCTTTTGATATCATCAGCTTGCAGTTCTACCCGCTACAGCCGCAAAATGTCCAAGTCCATAGGAGCCAGCACATGCTACTGGACAAAGGAGGGCAACACAAATAACATCTGGCTGGCATTGTGCTTGCCATGGCGCAATGATATCTGATTGAGGCGATGTTACCTCCATGTCAGCTGCCTCTTGCCAGTTTGCATCAAGGTCAACTGTGAAGCGGCAGAACTCATAGAGGGAATTTCCCATGGCACCCCATTGCTCCTCAGCAACATCATTCAACATGGTTTGACTTGGTGCACACAGACTGTGTCGCAATGTGTTTACCCCTGGAGTCTTCAGCAGGATTTCTCTGCGCTTTTTTGGCACTCCAGGATCAGAGGCAAAACCGCCCTTCAAAATACGGAATCCAGCAAACACACACACATACACACCTCAACGGCCCGGGGCTAACTACAAGATAAGGGACAGCCAGAGCCCGGAAAGCTCAGGGCCGTGCTCCCTTCAAGTTTTTCTCTTGGCTCTTTGAAGGCTACCTAATGAATTGTCCCGCTCTGTTCATGCATTTCGTGCCGCTGCGCCGGTGATGAAACACTGATCCAGAAGTGGACGGGTCAGCTGCCAAGTCTCCAACTTCTGAATCACCGCCTTCATCGACTTGCAAGCAGCTTCAGCATAGCTTGCGACCAGGTTTGGCACACCTTCATCCATTTCTTCGATCCTGGGAGGAAACATACGGGAGGCTCGAGCCCACACATGCAGAGTATACTGTTACCACTTGCTACCGCTACTGCTACTGCCGCTGCTACTGCCACTGCTGCTCGTGCTGCCACTCCTGCTGCCACAACTGCTGCTGATCCCTTTCACTGTGGGGAAGGCTCTTGCTACTGCTGCTGGCGCTACGACGCCTACTGCTACGACGACGACGACGACGGGGAGGAGGACGAGGATGACCACGATGACTTTCGCGATCGTCGGTGTTGTCATGCTCTGCTTCCAAATCAAACCATGCCACAGTCGAGCACTATCGATGCATCCACCCCAACATCACTGGTTAGGCTCAGGGTCGCTGCATCTCTGGTAGCTGCAGCCAAGGTGTGAGTCAAGCGAAGAGCCTCAGCTTGAGTTACGGACCATGTCTTGCGCAGCCACGCAGGGCAAGGTAGCAGGGAGGCTAGAAGAAGAACAGTAGGTACCTGCAGTGACTATGCTTCGGTGACTAAATAGCTGAAGATCAGCGACAATGATGACAAAGAAAACCACAATAGCAGCAGCTGCTGCTACTGCAACGACGACAGCAACACCAACAGCGACAAAAATCACTGAAACGCTTGCGACACGCTATTGGCGTTGGTTAGCCTGCGGAAGAAAAGACAGGTCTCATGAGCGCGAAGAATCCAAACTTACTTCTCATGTTGGATATCAAGCGATGCATCCAAGGGTCCTTCTCTTCAGTGTGAAGAAGACGCTGGTACTGTGACAGCGGGAAGGGCTTGTGCCAGAAGGTTGGCTCGGAACTCGCAGCCAGAAGTCCACCCTTTGCAGCTTCCACTGCTTTGTTCCTTAGGATCTTGACCAAATCCATGCTGCGAGGAGTCATGGGGTAGCAATTGGGTAGCATGGTTCAGCCAAGGGTCCCTGCCCGCTGGGCCTTTGTGATCTCTGGCAATGAGGTTGCCTTGGAATCCTGTGCAAAGATTTGGGTCTGTGCCACATGCTGCAACCTTTTCCCCGAGCCAGTCTCTTTGCATTGAACCTGGCACCGCCACTCTTGCAAAACAAGTGCCGACACTGCCGCCTACAAGACACCACTGCGAACTGACTTCAAACTGAACCGGTCTTCCAAAAGAGCCATGAACTCAATTACATTCAATTACCACATGCCCGCTGCCCTACCCCCGCCTGCTTTGCTATGAAGGCGAGATGGGGCTCCACGGCCGTCTCAAAGCTGTGCTGAATTGCCTTCGCCCGTTTCGTTACACTCAGGAGAAAGCATCTGCAATCGCACAGCCTTGAGGATGGACAGCTGCTCATCGTTGACCTTCTCCTTACCACTAGGTGGCGAAACGCTAACGCCAGGCATTCAAGGCACCTAACCTTCCCTCTGCTGACGTGCTCCCTATGGTGCTGTACACGAAGCAACCTGCTACTGAAGGCCAGCTGAGCCCTCAGCCCTAGCCGATCGCCTCCACAGGAGCATCTCCACGAGAATGTACACCGACGCACCCACGAACTGCTCCCGAATGCGATGTAGCACCAAATCATGAGCAGTCTTCTGTCCGAATGACTCCAGCTGCCCTACAACCATGATGTAGATGCTGAAGCCAGCCTGAGATGTGAAGATGCTCCAGGTACATAATCGAAAGGAAGGTGTCAGCCTTCAAGTCAAGCGGCAACTGTGGCTGTGTATCCATGTCTTTTCGAGGATCGCATCAAAGTGCAGAAGAACGTCCAGCATACGCACACCAGGACGTATGCCTGGTTTCTTGCATCCGGCAATCCACGGCAGAAACGCCAACATGCCGCATAGTAAAACAAGTTGCAATCCCTAGATGGCCTATAACATCTTAACAGCGCTGCCCACCTGTGGTCTTTAATCTTCTGGCCAGAGATGCTGCTAGGCCCTCAGTCTTGTGATGCTCCACATCCAACTCCGAGAGCCAGTTCAAGGTAAACAACCCGACCATTCCTGCAGGGCGATTTCTACGGAATGGATGCTATGCGTTGGTATCTGGCGAAAGCTGCGCGTGCCTCCAAACAACGTCCCTACAATGCGCCCGATGCCGGTGTTGATGGAGGAGCCCTCGTTGTCGGAGAAGACGAAGCATGCTGCCTAAGCTTTCTGCTGCTCAACTTTTGAGTTCCAGCATTCTTTAAAACATGCTGCTCAGGGGCGATAAAGCCCCACATGAACTCGGGCCGCCCTGCCCGTGTCTCAGGAATCCAGGCGAAGATCGACAGCCTTAAGGACAGACGCCAAGATTCGGAAGTGTTGGAAGTTGGATAGGGTATTGTAACTGAGTCAGACATCTTGCGACGCACTTGAATCCGGACAGACTCACGTCGGGCAAATAAGACGAACAGTTGGGACAAGCAGAGAGCAATCACTTAGACGGATCACTCTGATTGGCTACTGATCAAGACCATGTGCCCAGCGGGAACTTCCCGGGTATGGATCGTGATTTAATTGATAATTGACGATAACGTGGCTGGGCCCTGCCAGCATGCAACAAAAGACAAGTGAGTCACGCTGCACGAAACGCATGTGGTGGTCTGGAATGGGTAAGGAACGCGTTATGGAATGACTCCCTACATTAGGGTATGGAACGGAGGGGTCTGGATCGGAATTCTGGACTTGTTCCAGATGTTGTCCCGGACATATCAATCATGTGGAGCGGTAGCCATTTAGGCTTGCACCTTGGGCAAGTAATCACTCGGGGCGGATGCTTGCCCTACAGCAAAAGCCGTCCGCATTTAGGGCGAGTTGTATTGTTGCAGCCTTCAAGATGACGGTTCACACTGCCGAGTCTGCTAAGCCTTGAAACGTATATATCGATTCAAGCAAACGACAACCCCGTAACCGTACTCAGTACTCATCCTAAGCGATTTCTGGTACTCTGCTGTGCTAAGGACCAGGCACTGTCAGAGAGAGCGTCTTCTTCACAGCTTCCCTCGCCAACGCCCTTGTCAGGCAGCGCAGTCGACGCCGAACTCTTGATGTGAATGAACATCTATAAGTCGGAGCCCCTATCAACGTTTCCATGCGGATGAATCGAGTAGTTCGTCGGTCTGGTTCGCAGCCGCATGGCATGCTACTTTGATATTTCAAGCTGCTGATAGGAATCTGGGAGGTTTCTAGGATTGCAAATCCAAAAGATGTTCTTCGGGATCTCCCTAACAAGCCCACACTCAGATCACTCAGCTCATTCCACCACATGATAAGGATATGAAGGGGGCTTCTAGACCGAAGCACCACCATGCAGCCCAGGCTAAGGTGAGTAGTGATAATCTGTTCGTTCTTAAAATTCAATTACATGGGTCCTCCAACCCAAAAGCACACCCTGAACTGATCGCAACGCAAACCTTGACTGCGACTTCGCTACTAGGCGGGGCTATCTGGAGTAAGCACCTAGAAACTGCCATTTCAAGATGCCAAGTCCGAGCAACTGCATCTCGGGCGATATTCCACCCCACATCCCCGGACAGACTGCAGGCAAGCGACCGCGTTGGCATTGAAAGCCAGCTTCTGACATGGCCGGCCATTGTTACTAGAATATTCAACCTGGTGAAATCCACTGTGACGGCATGCACGAAGATGACACACATATCAGAGTAGCAACAGCACAGCTGCCTAGTCAGCAGCTGCTGTGACACGCAGGAAACGTGAACTCAGTGAACCTAGTTAATTTGCTTGAACGAGGGGCCTGCACAGGCGCTTGCCTTCTGCCACAGGCATCTTGCACGTCTTGACCTTGGAGCAAGGTGACTCTCCGCATCCGTTTGGACACATATTTGAAGTCCGCTCGTGGTCGAAAAAGGAACGGAGAGGATCAATTCACTCGCTGCGAGTCCGCGCCCCAGGGATTACCGGAGTCATTGCAACAACAGGCTATACCAATAGTAACGCCCCCATAGACTAGAATTGCAGCTGCCAAGCACTCCCCAAAACTGCAGTCATGCTCGCCGGGCCTCTGAGCACGCATAGCAAACTGCAGGTCAGTAGACAGCCTGTCTGACTGTACACTCTGCGCACTGGACAGTATTATCATAATGTGGATTGCACCCGGAAAAACTAACTGGCAGGCGCTGTCATTTCCAAATCTTGCCTAACGGCCTAACGATCTCTCGCAATTTTAAAGGCTAAGCCACGCATCCAAGAATCAGCTCATGGACGGCAAAATATGTTGCCATGCGATTGATGTGCTCGACAAAATGGTCTGCGCTGTGCTCGTCTTCGTTGTAGAGAGATCCTTGTAAGCTGGGATAAAAAAAACTCATCAATCGCTTTGAGTCCATACGGAAGTAGAGCTGCTACACTATGCTTTAGCCTCCTCACTTTGCAAGCGCTATGGGCATGACTCAAGAAGCGTCCGGAGCTGAAACACGTGCAGTAAGCGATGGAGAACATCTCTAGACTCCTCAAGGATGATACCTGTATGAGGGATACTTTTTTCCTGTAGGTTGTTGTGTTAGCACGTCCCAGGTACTTGTGGACCGGGATGTCTCGTCTTTCAGGGTTTGGGAGGCTTTGGCATGGGTTGAGGTTGGCTTGGCAAAGAAAGCCGAAGCAAACATGACAGAAACTGCCAGAACCCAAATAGGCCAGATCAGGCCCCTGTAGCAATTCGAAAAGTTGACACCATCCTTGGCTGTTGAAATGATGGCCGTCCTTGTGGATAGATGACCTCCGTTCTGGCAAGGGCCACGTCTTCATCCAGCTTCTTTTGGGCAGCTTCCAAGTCTGAAAGAAAAGCTTCATCAAAAGGTCTGCGTTCTGCATCCTCAGAATCGCAGGGCTGCTGCTAATAGATCCGCACACCGCAGAATTGTCTGGCTGATGTTATCGGCTTCGGTGCATTGCATCTCAGGCACAGCCTCTACAATCTCATTGGCTGCAGCAGCGACGGCCTTCAGAGTTGCCCGCCACGAAGAGTCAGCAACCTTTTGAAATTTGACCTGCAACAGCACGAGACGCCAAGGAGAGAAAGTGCCCGAACCTAACAGGCTCATGAATCATCGGTCTGTCCATGCGTCTAAGCCGCGTGGGTAGCAGAAGTGGTGCCTGTATTTGATTGCGCGGTGACTTGAAGTGACCTCAGCGCTCTGAAATTGAAAGCTACCTTTGGAGCACTTTCAGCTAGAAGGCCGCAATGCCGTCAGCTGGGTTTCGAAAAAATTCACGGCACGCTTGAGCTGCTGATACCGTCGGGGGCGAAGGAACAGCCTCGGAACAGTTTTGAGCAAGCAGCTGCAAAAGGGATCCCTTGCAAGAGGAGCCCCTGCTCAGGCTTCCACTCATGCTGAGCGGCGCTCCTCAGACAAGACAAGAGCAAAATCTCTACTGAGTGATGCGAGAATCTGCATGCTGCCCTTTGGATTCGGATAAATTTCTTGGCTGAGTTTCAGCAGCCCTCTCATTGCGGCAAGGTTGTCGCGGAATGCCTCCAGCAAGTGTGCCGCAGCGACGTGCTGTGCTCGGGAAGCAGAAGCCACTGCATGGTACTGGCATTGCAGAACCTCACCAGGACGAGAGTGAGAGCCTAACGAAGGCTGCGTTGTTCGATGCACAAAAAACTTCCGCAAATCAAAGAGTTGGCTTGCCAAGTGACTTGTCGCTCAGTCACAGCCTGGTGAGCCAAGCGCTGCTGCAGTTCCCAGGAAGCGAAATGAGGTGTTGGAACGAGCATAGACAAGACGGCAGCCGCCAAACCCACCGTGCATGGAGTGCCGGTTGTCCATGGGAACCACCACTCTTTGCTGTGGTTGGAGATGGACATTGGAATCGTGCCGCAGAGCATCACACCCACTGACCTTAGGACAGCTTCGCACCACGCCATGCTGAAACCACCTCGGACCTCGGGCCAGTACTGAGTACTGGCAGCAGCTGGTCAACCGAGCGTCACTCGCTTTTGGACCAGCGCCCAAGGTCGAGAACACAAGAAAAAGACGGTGAGCCTGAGGGAGCAAGTCTTGGCAAAGCGATTCACTTTCCTTCCACTTAAGCTATCGCAGGTGCAAAGGCGGGGGACAAGAACAGGACGCAGGTCAGCCATTCACGCAGAAGCGTGGGATTCACAGGCCGAAGGGATTCATTGACCACCTGGGCGCTGGGCTCTGACCGCGAGGTACAACTACCACCGCTAAAAGGAACGTGTTCAATGGCATCCAGGTCGGCTGCCATGCTGGCAAAGCAACCCATCACCGCAGCCTGCAACAATATTGCTGGCATGTTTTCCCGCATGTTGACATGTGTCTGCAACCGCATGGATTGCCCCAGACCGTCCACATCTGCCAAGCATGGTGGAGGGTTGCACCTGCTCATGCGAACAGCTTGCGGTGCCCCTGAAATCGCACTGACTTCTTTCTTCAAGGCGCCAAGATTTGGCCCGGAGACACACGCAATAGCCAGGACAGGTGCAAACACTGTGGCATGGTCCCATTCGGCCGACTGCACCTGTTCCGGCAAAGTCTTTGTTAAGTTGATATGGAAGAGTCTACTTGCTCATCTGCAAGAATTGAGGCAGCACATGGCGGGCAGTGCTTCTCGTAGCAGGCAAACCTCAGGGTGGACGGAGTAGATGGCGGTGAGCGTGGCCGCAAACGATGTTCGCAATGCCCACTCCACCTTCATGCCCCAGATAGTCTGCATCCTGGAATGGGCGATGGCAGCAGAGAACGGGGGAGGGCCGAAAGAAGCGCCTGCAAACTCATTGCTTCCAACTGCTAAACGCTAAACATCACGTCAGCCAATCACCCATCCGCCTTGGCAATGAGCTTTTGCGCGGCGGCTGCGTCATCTCAGACCGAAATTCCGGGTGGATCTCAGGAAGCTGCATACCCGTGACATGCCTCCAAGTCACAGAGCAACACTTTGCACCCGGGCACTCGGACTTTCTGCAGGGCCACACCTGGCCTGGAGGTTGATAGCATGGTGCTGATCGACTTGGTTTTGGACAACGACAACGGGCTTGCCATTGCGTTTCGTGCAGTTGCCTTGTTGCCACCTGTTGATCGCTTGTACACATTTGCTCTAGCAAACGTTATGCTGAACAAGCCGTATATGCTGGCATGCTGGCCAATGCATAGGATTGTGAGGCTTGGGCTTGGGGGCCACATGCTGAAAGGCTTTGGCCACTCTTTTGGCACTAGCATGGAGCTGGTGGAATGCCTGGAACAGCGTGCTTGCGCCCGAAGCAAACCGCAACCATTTGACCCACTGTCCGGCAGGGTGCGCTGAACATCCTACATAGGTCAACGTGGCTACGAGGTCCCGAATCTACTGGGATGCAGTGAAACTGAACTCGCCTGCAGTCAGTTGACTGCGTAGAAACGTCTGGCTAGGCCAGACTTGGCTGAGTGGTAGGGTGACTGCCCCGAGATGCTGAAAGAAAGACAGCCTTCAGGGTGTGGTTGTTGGGCTGAGCACGGTGCGAGGCAGAGAAAATGCAAGGCCAGGGTGGGGCAGCCTTCTGCTTCCACCCTGGGCTACATGGAGGAAGGTGCTAAGAATCCAGTCAAGGTGGCCGGCTCTGTTCTTTTTCTCCAGTGCCACCAACCTGCTCGAGACTTTCGCTTCAGTTTCATGGGAGCGTAGTGTGACAGTGTGACAGCATGGCCCGCTCTTCCAAAGAGGAGAAAAAGGATTGAGAGACTTTACCAGGCTGCTCTGCGTCACACGTGTTTTAATGGTAGCGAAAGTTTCGTTTTCGTGCTACACTGCAATCTGCCCTTGAAACGCAGGCAAAAGCATGCCGACGGCCCACAGCTGCACTTCAGATGAACACACTTCGTATGTTTCTGATAACGGCAAAGAAAGCATAGTGCTGAGGGCTCATCACTTGCTGATCTTGCTGAAGTAGTCCGTGGCAGTGAGTGTTTGGCCAGCTGGCCAAACTCAGCCGCGTGCGTCAAATCTATGTATCAAAAGCTCAGAGTTCAGCGTCAGTACTTGGGGGCTGCGGAACCTGCACAGGAACATTGCAAGGTTGTGGCATGGATTTCGTCCACGATTAGCACGGAGCATGCTTCACACCCTTTGCTTACCCAATGTGGCCCGCTTCCTTTACAAAGCTACACGGCGGCAAAGCCGTGCTAGAAGCGCATGCCTCCACGGCTGCATCATGCTGCGCCGGTGAGAGTTTCACTGTACCATATAGTAGCAGCTCTTTTCAGCTGCGATCGCGTATGACACAAGACCAGAAAAACGATCCTGCAAACTTGCAGCATGCTCGTGTACATGAACCATGGCCTGGAAAACCCACTCCGACTTTCAAGATGACTTGGAGCGCATCATACAAAGCTTTTTCAATTCCTGGGCTGTTGAGTTGAAGGCCTGCTCCGTGTGGTCCATTGCTTGCTTCCTGGCCTGCCGCAGGGCTGAAAGGTTTGAGGGGAAGGAGCAACTTGTCGGATAACTTGACTCGTATCTCAGATAAGTCTTGCCGACTTTACATGATTTGACCGCCCCCTCAAACAGCAGACGTCAAGCCCCCTAACCTATTGATCGAAAACTTGAAGCAGAGAGGCGTGCAGCCTCCAACTTTGCTGCAATGTCAGGGTGGACCCCAGGCCAGGGCCCTTTGTCAAAGCCTGGCCGCTCCAGGGACATATGGTCCTGAAGCAGGGTGTGTCTGTGGGGTTGGGAACTTGTTTGAGATGCTCCGGACGTTTTGGCTTGGCACCAGTTTTGGGGACACTCCGTTTTGTGGAGAGGTAAACTGTCGTGCGTTGATGCGGCAGCTGAATATGCTTCTGTTCTTTTTGCAGTGAGGTTTGGCAAGTGAGGAGGCAAACAAGATACAAAATGCCTTCGACGTCTAGATTCGATCTTTAAGCAACGAGCCATCGGGCTAAACGAGTGCCTTCTTTGGTCTCATGGGGTCCTCTATCGTAGTGGCGATGAATCAAGTAAGAGGTTTGGGGTGTAGGATGGTTCCTGGCACTAACCTTGCCTTCGGAAGGCAGAGGCCGAAAAAACCTCTCCGCGCTGGAGTGACACACAGCACTTGCATGCCCAAGAGCAGATAGCAGTCAGCTGGGCGGGGTCCTTTCGCCCTGCTTATTACCTTTGCCTTAACATGCCTTAACTGAACAGCCTATGAAGTTTCAATCTTTGCAAGGCATGAACTACACAAATTCCGCAACTATGGGCACTTGAGCTTCTCAGTTGCTCTGGGCCTTTCCCCAAATGCTCCTTGACTCTATTGCGAAAAGAAACTTGATCAATCGACTTCCCCCCCTTCCCTGAACCGCGATCCAGCTCCTCCCCGCTGTGGAATTCAGCGAGCAAACGCTTCTCCTGTGTCCGGTTGCACCGAAGTATCTTAGAGCCGGATTGCTGTAGCGGCCTTCTACTATGGAATTTAAGGACCAACACCTACCAGCATATCATCAACTGCAATCCAAGGACAAGCCCGCGCGGTCCTCCATCTTCTGCTGCAGCATCTGATGCTCTGCGTCATGAGGTCCAACACCTGTGGCGCAAAGGAGGTGCGACGGGCTAAGGGTTTGAAGGTCTCCAGCGCAGCAACCTCCGCCATCTCAGTGACAACGATTCATCTCTGAGAAGTGTACATATGCCCGGGCACATTCGGTACTGTTTAAATAAAGTGTCTAAGAGTCTAAGCATGTCTTGACACTAGCACCATGTTCGAAGCCACACGTCTGCCATCATGGTAGCACTATCGAAGCAAAATGGGAACCTCGTCATTCCCTAGATTGGCTTCCAAGGCTGGCTTCCGGCCTCTGGAAGGTGGCTCGTAAGACCTGAGGCTGGCGTTCTCGGCCATCTCTGTGAAAGGGACCCGAAGTAAAGCAGCAACATCGGACATCCAGAAACAGATGCGAGATCAAGCCCACAAGGATTTCAAACAGCCGGCTCCAATTTCATATTGCAAAGAGTCCTAGCAAAATGAGATTTCCTGGTGGAGAGCAGCCTGATTGCATGTATCCCTGCATGGCAAGTCGCAAAGAGGATGCGGCAGCGCTACCTGACCATTGTCACACATCTGCTGTCGGCGACGCTGCAGCACACGCAAAGCGGGACCATGCCTGTGGCGGTGCGGCCAGTGACAGCAGTCCAATCCTTGGGTGAAAGCAGTCTTCCTGGATTGGATGCTTGCCGGCAACTCCACTCTAGCTCTTTCTGTTATACCTTGCGCTGACTCCATGCGTGTTGTCGCTACTGTAGCAAATGCCGAGCTCAGAGCCATGTCCCACATCTCGTCCGCCTCCACATCCTCATCCTCCTGGCAGATTAGCTTTGCAGCAGGCCCGTATGGCTACGATTTCAAATTCCAGGCAGTTCAGGTTTTATTCTCATGGCATCTTCGAGGCTACAGCTCGTCCTGTTCGTCAGCAGGCATGGGGACCACCGAAGTCTCGTCCGACACATGGGACACCACAGCCGGACGCCTGAAGTCAAAACAGCATCGACCGTTAACAGGTGACAACCTTTCCGATGCTTGGGCTTATATGCACTTGTACCCTCAAAACATATGCTGGGGCCCACGCACTTTACTCAACTCTGGATCTTGGAGCGTCTCCTGACAAAGGCACGCATGATTAGAACACATACTGGCATGGCCTGCACTACTGAGGCTCATGTTGGAGTAGAGCCCTACAGAAGTGCAGTGCAACAGGTGGTCACAAGTTAGTTCGAGACGGAAATATTAGCAAGAGCAGTAATCTGCCTTTTGCAAGCTGAGGGGGAGACTGGCCCCGCACTGGAGGAGCTTGTTCTGGGCCGGAGGCTGGCCTGAAGGTTTCATTGGCATCAACACTCCCTCAGGGCTTTCAAATGTAGCCAGAAACATTGAACTAAAAATGCTTGTCACAGAACCACTGGCGGTAATCATCGTGGCTTAATCCAGGAGTCGTAGATGCAAGGGTACAAGGGAGAGCTTGTGAGGCTGTCAAGGAATCACGAGAGTTAGCGCACATTCAGCTGGTTCTGCATCTTTCCCTGTCCAACCCTGCTTCCACCTCATCAGCCATGCTGTGGAACTCTACTGGCTCCGCAGTTGCCTGCGCGCGGTGCAGAGGCAGTGTAGTATACTGCTGGTGACGGGTCTGGCCTCATTGCCCGAGCTTCTGCGCCTTTCGAATTGCACCTCATCCTGCGCCTAAGCAAGGACTGCTGGCAGCATCGTGTGGTAACACCGGCTTCACTGGCCTCCAGGGTTTCCAATGCTTCTTCCTTCTTGCGCAGCTCCTGGAAATCATGCAAGGCTCCTTTGCGATTTCGGGGCGTGCTGCAGGAGCACCCTAAAAACCTGGCAGCCTGGCAGCAAGGCTATTGACTAGTCCTATTCGGGCAGCAGGATGCTGTTGCCTCCATACATGTGGGGCCAGTCCTTCCTCTTCTTTCATAAAATGTGGCATCCAATAGCTTTACGAATGGCACTACCCCACACCTTGATAACACCTTTATACCTCTGAACGATTCTCCATTCTCATGGCAGTAGAGCAGCAACGAAGAACTGATCTGGCAAACCAGAAGTACCTCAAATCCTCAAGTTGTGCAGGCAAAAGCATTGCCAAGCATACGGTCATGGCTACACAAGAGGGCTTGTCCCCCATTGTCACGTTACAGTTCCTCCCCTATCTGTGGTGTAGGGGACTGGGGCTGTTGCTGTTGCTTCTGCTGCCTATACCGAGGGTTGAATCCCTTCAAGGAGAGGGACGGGGAAGTCTCTGCTTGTGTGCTCATCACGTGGCAACCTGGCAGCAGACAGAAATCTCACGCCATGAGCATCAAACCCGGGGCAACTGCTGAAAGGCTTTTTTTGGGTGGTGGTGAAACACACGACATTGATGGGTCCCTCTGGGAGTCCCATCCCATGGGTTCGTTAGCAAGAGGCGAGTGAATCGTTCGGATTGACCGTCCTTCGACCTCGGGGAATTTGCGAATAGGGAACTAGTGGGATATAATTTGAACATCTTAAGATTTAAGAACCTCCAAATTAGAAGGCTTTGCCTTCGGATTCAATCTCTCGCCTCATGAGGCATGAAGCTAGCGAGCTCCGCTACTCATGTGCCAAAAAGTCCTCAGGTACCTGCACGATTGGCGCTTTAAGAGCCGCTAGCCCCAAGGCCATCATGGGTGAAACATGTGCCTGTAAACAGCGCGCGGAACCTGCATTTCCCTTTGCAGTTCGTCTGCTCTGTGGCAGGCAGGGAACACTACAGCAAGCTGTTGCCAGCAATCTGCTACCTAATTCACATTGCCATGCTCGGTTTGCTGGAGCTGAGAACAGAGATCAGATTGGCGTTCAGCTTGGTATGCTTGGTGGAACAGCTAGCATGGACGCCCGGTTCTGCCTCAGCAACTTCTTTTGACTCTTGCTGCATTTGCCCAACATGTCTATGGTAGTTGTGGCACTCAACACGGTCCCAGGGCCAAAGGGGTGAAACCTCAACAACCGTTGTGTCCCTTGAGTATAGCAAGCCCTGCCTCGTATCATGTTTTTTTGCATGATGCTTTGTTCATTGGCAGAATGTAATGGCAAAAGCTGAAGCCCTTGGCCCAGCCCCCGGTGCACACTTGCAATTCAACCCTGCGGCTTGCGTTGTGGACTTTACTCTTAACATCGCGCCCAAACCGAAATTCTTCGCAAAGCGGCTGCTTCTTGAGAACCCGCGAGCATGCATGGTTGATGTTGCCAGTGTTCTCGTCCGTGAGGCGGCGCATCCTTGCGGGAAGGCATGACTTGCAGCAACAGCGTTGCTATATTCCGAGATTTCAGTTTGACCCATATCAAGCTACGTGCTGTCAAGCCGCACTTGCAAAAAATGAGGAAATCTGAGCAGAAGCCGGCGCTCTGGGTGCACCTTGCAAAGCTGTCGGTCAGCTAGCCAGCGGCTTTGGTTGAGGCCACTCGAGTCTCCACAAGTCATGCAGTTACTGCTCTCTGATGGAGGCCAGGCAGGCAGAAAGATCCTCCAACTACATCATGTTGACTCTGATCTGTGAACCCACCCCCCCAGCCTCCCTCACCATGGCACTCAAATGGCTAACGTCATCCTCACTCATGTCAGCGATGCGGCCTTGGATCTAGGATGTTTTGCATCTCACCGGATTGGAACGGCGCCTACACAGTTTAGACCCAAAGTCTGATCCCAAATTGAATTCTATGATTCAGGCCCGCAGAAAAGCGCCTTTCAAATTCGACCCTCTGCTGCTCGAGCAGCTGATGATGCCGAGGAGGGATTCGAAGGTGAGCTCCTTTACCTGGATCTCTCCAGAACTAATTCGTCTGCTTCCCAAGCTGGTCAGCTACTATTATCATTGTTTTCTTATTCCCTACATGGGGATAAGGGGGGTTGTATCGGAGATTATAGGGGATATGTAGGGATAACGGAAAAGGAAAGGGAAGCTACTTAGGGTTTAGGGTTCGGGCTTCCATTTGGAAGCAGGAGCTCTCAGTCTCTGATGAGGTGTCCATTCTGGTGATATCATTGATATCCTGACCTCTTCTTCGCCCGCCGTATGAAGTCAGGTGGCCCAATTCGAGTGCAGGTCGAAAATCCTCAGGTTGGCTGGCTGATCTCAATTACGTTCAGGGAGCTCTGAATATTATCTTGTTAAAAAGACACATATGTAGTTGCTTCTTCTGACGTCTTTGCAAACAAGGCCGAGGCTCTGCCTGAAGCCCTCCACTTCTTCAAAGTCCAAGCCCAGGTCCTCAATGACCTGCCTCGGCTGCTACGCATGGCTTTGCTCTGCTCACCAGACTCCGCTTCCAACTTGCCAAGGTGCAGCTCCATGTGCAGATCCTGCAAGGCAATCGGAATCTCTGCGCTTCAACGATCTGATTTGAAGAAAGAAGATCAGTGTGGCCACGATGCTTGCTGCCAGGCTGCCTTCTCATCCCGGATGTCATCACATCTGCGCATCAGGACCAGAAGGGTTCTGAACTCCAGCCGGCCACTGCCGTCCTGATCCACATCCTGCAAAAGCGTTCAAAGGTCTTGCAAGTAATGAAGCGCAAGCTCCCAATGCGACTGTCCAGCAGGTGTCTTCCACAGTTGGCAAATCGCAAGACAAGGCCTCTAACCTTCATTCTATCTTACAGAGCAGACCAGGGCCTTGCGGGTGATGACCTATCACGATACAGAGAAAATCTAGGAGTCCACAAGGCCTTCATCATTATTTGAACCTGGCTCAATTTTGGCATTCATACTAATATTCTTCCCGTTACGGTTTGCTTTGACTGCTTTTCTTGCTGATATTGCTGCTAACGTTGCTGCTGCTCTTCCTGTTGCTGTGTAACCATATGGCTGGCCACACCAGCCTTCAGGATGATCTGCACCTCTGCGCGGCCTTCCTTGGCTCATGGCAAACCGTGCACCCCAAGTCCTCTGACCAACATCTTCCAGAGTAAAGGTGACCAAAACGAAAGATGTTCTCGGTCTAGTCTGAGGCTCCTTGGACTTCGTAGCCTGCGCAAGACATGAAACACCCACAGGAAAAGTCTGAGTCCAAGACGAAGTGTGTTCAGTGGCTCAGAACCTGTCGATCCTCCCTTGATGCGGCGAACCAAGTAGATGATTTTACAGCGGTCGTGCTCAGCACGCTTTCCGTGCATCCAATCCACGCTGGTCATCAACTGGGCCACGCATCTAAAATGCAACCTCTGTGCAAAAACAGGCGGGTTCAGAAGTGGAGGGGTTGCACAGGCTGAATAACACCAAAGACCTTGCTTGGCTTGTGGCCCTTAGGGGGCTAAGCACTTCTTCTTTTGGGGGCTTTCCCGTTTCTTCAAAACCATAACAATGCGGTGCTCTCAAAAGACCAGTGCTATGTGGGCCGACAGGTACCAAAAGCAATTGCGCTATCAATGCAGCCATGGTTGCAAACATTGTGTAAAATATACAGCAATTGTTGCAAACACTTGTTTCATTCATCACTTGTGGCAAGTTGTTGCAGCGCTGCGTATGTAACTTTGCAAGGATATCTGCAATAATTGGTGTAACGGCGTTTGTACCTTCCACGAACTTTTCTCTACGTAAAGCATGGCTTCTCTACTTAAACTTGTTTTCCCCAGCTACAACCAGTGTCTCTCTCTGCTAAAACTATAGCGGACCAACAGTCTAGCAATGCTTGTATTAATGTTTTTTGCTTTCTACGACCCTTTTCAACTTAAAACATGATTCCTCTACTTTGAAGCTGTACGTTCTCGACTTGGTACAATAGTTGATTGACTTAGAATTCTGGGGGCAAACATGCAAACACTTGTCCAAACCCTGTCTAAAAGTGCTATAAAAATTGTTCAACAACTTCATTATGTCCAAACATGTCATTTCAGAATCATAAAGCGATGTATACCAAAACGAACCATGACTGGACTTTCTGAAGCAACTAGCCTAAAATGAAATATGTCGGGGGCTATGGTTCTCATTTTGGGTGCTTTCCAGCCTCCATAGATCCCTGATGCCAAGACCGCTGCTTGTTGCTGGGATTGATGCCCCAGACCCTTCTTAACCATGGTGTAGGTGGGATGTCCACAAGAACCATCATGTCATATTTATGATAGCGGTCACAACAAGCCTGCTCTGCAGAAGAACTCCCCGGGATCAACTTGCACAAGGCATCTGAGCCACCATATTGGAGAACATACAGTTGTTGGTGAACTCAAGCCTGGCCCGCCCCCAAAACTCCCTAAAGCAAGTTTCAAATGTACGGGGCCGTGCTTCTTTTTGAGGGTGTTCTCCAACCCTTAACACAAGAAGTATTGGGGGTTACGATTCTTGTTTTGCGAGTTTTCCAGCCCAAGAAATGTCAAAATCAGAAATGTTTTGGCGGCCACCTTTCTCATTTTGGAGGGTTGGTTTCCAGTCCGTGAAAACCATTCGCAGAGGAAATGCAGGGGGCTACTTTCCTGTCTTGGGGGTTTCCAGCCCCCCAAAACCACCAAAATCAAACTATAATCCGAGATAGCTATGTTTCTCATTTCAGTGGTTGTCCAGACAACTGCCTTGCAAGTATTATGCCCTACTAACTTGCTGGAGGCCTGGAAGCCCGGAGCACCTTGAGACCAAAAGCCCGCGGAACCTTTAACGCAACTCTTCGCCTCAGGGAAGTACTCGGCAATGATCTTTGCAAGCTCTCTGTTTTCCACAGTGCCACTCTTGTCCTGGAGAGATGTTCAAGATTGCGATTCGTTCTCTCCAAAAATTCTGAAACTGCCAGCGGCCCTTGCGTGATGATTTGCCAGCAGTCAAACAAACAACAAACGTGCTGGGTAATCTGCAAACATGGCTAGGCAAATGTCAGTCAGCCAGTACCGAGCATAAAGTGGGCATCCTTGTCAAACCGATTGAAGCAGTCACGCAGCGCCACCACCTCAACAGGGGGACGGCCTTGCGAACCACAAGCAACTCCAGAAAGCTAAAGACTTTGAGTGCCAGCAGCGGTCTGCGCTTAGCTTAATGCCGCGCCTCGCTTGAATTGTAGCACGCGTTCAGCCGGATCTCATGGATCAGCAACTTGCCTTGGCAATCAGCGGACGACTGGACCGCTGCCGGCTTTCGGCACTGAGGTTTCACTGGTGTAGCTTGCAGATCAGCGTCGGAAGTTTCTACAGAAAAGCTCGAAAGCGGATCGTGACACAGCATTCTTCCTTGGATCGGTTTTGGCCAGGGTTCGTTGTACTTGTTCAGGACAACATGGGAGAGCCGACAGATTAAATACATGAGTTGCCCATCGACAAAAGGCATGCTTTTGGACCATTGGATTCATCGAGGTGACACGTCTTGTTGGCCGAGAGACGTGTCTAAGAGGGAGAAGCCAGCCATGCGTGCAGCTTGCTCCCCCTTCTTTGTCATGCCGTTGCTAGTGTCGTCGTAGAGCTTCCTGTCAGAAGCAGCTCTGGCGTGAGACTCAATGTTGCCGGGACGAGCTTTGCTGCAAACTGTGAATTCGCGCACGGAGAGCTGCTGCCAAGCTTCGAGAGGGCATACGGCAGCTTTGAGACAGGCACCTTGGCCAGCATCACATTCTAAAGAATTGGAGGGGGCAAAGCACACACTGCGATAGGCTGAAGGCTCAGGGTCCGAACCCTGGTTACTGCCCTCGCTTGGCCCCCGGCATGGCCGTTGCCTCTGTTATCTAGCATGACAAAGACGTTCCACTGCTTCTCGCGCTCTTCCTCAGCAAGTGCAAGACCAGAAAAAGCCAGCACTGGCATCCTCAACTAGCATTGTCCCATGGACCCATCTTGCATTGCAGGAAGGTCTGAATTTTCCTGATGACGCCTGCTCCAGGTAAGGACCCGCACTACCTCAAGGCACTGCTCTAACTCTATGTCAAGCCAAGTCACCAGGAAGAAACCTCGCATCAGCTTTAGGAACCTTGCCAGAGGTATGCAGGCAACTGTTGCCGTTAAGGGTTGAGGGTCTAGGGTTTAGGACCTTAGGAATTTCATATCTTTCACATCTTCACACTGACAGTTGAGGCGGCTGGAGGGGTCTGTGTTTGATATTAACAGCAGAGCAGCACGTTCTTCTTGCAAATGGCGGCATTTCGGCACTAGATCCGATTGAACAAGCCGCTTGACGGAAAGAGTAGTATCGTCCAAGGCCGCTTGCTGAAAAGAGCTGCGTGAGAAATGCCATAGGCTTGATCGTTTTACACCCCAGAAGCCCGTGGGCACCATGCGAATCTCTGACAGCATCCTGCTGATCGAGTTTTTCGTTCTCTGTAACCTACCCGCATACATCACCCTGAAATAGATGAGCCCCGGCTTTTCTTGACCAAGCCACCCCTCGAATTCGAGCTTGCCAGTGCCATCTAGATCAAACTGCTCAACCAGCTCTTTCACCTGCCAAGTTGGGAATTCAAATGATGACCGGGCACTGCGAAGGAGCCAGCAAGTCAGAGCCGCCGGTTCAGTATCTGGCCACATCGACTCCGCCCGATGTTAGAAAGAGCATTGTCGCAAATTGTCAAAGCGAAGCCCGCGCTCAAACAGAAGGCCACAGTGTCATGACGTGCTGACTGTTGATGTGATTGTTTGAGTTACTTTAGCCTCCTCTGCATGCCGGTGCTGATTTTGCAGAGCATTTGGAAGCCATTAAAGGAGGAGCACGCTTTTGAGAAAATTGCCAACGGCCACCTCCTGCCAAGGCTTCACGAAGCTGAACCATCGCATCACCCGGCTCCTTAGCACTACGGTTTCCTTTGCACAAGCAGCCAAATTACAGATTGGCTGGGCTTGGCATCTGTGAGTGTACCCTCAACATGTTGAGCCATAGGCTCCCAGACTGTCTCATTTATCTTTATGAATTGTGTATGGCAACCAAATCCAAATTTCAAAAGCACATCTGCAGCCATGAAGCGCTTGCAGCGGGTCGAGCGCCTGTTCGATGAGTGCGCTTTCCTTGCGTCTTTTGCATGCGCTGCAGAAAGCCCTCTGCGATATGGCATGCAGATCCCTTTTCTTGGGATTATGCTCCACTCCCGCATTGCACAGCACATGAAGCGCGCACTCGTCCTGGATTCGATGGGAGAGCTGCTGACCCATGTGTTGCGCTTGTGTTGAGTATGGCAAAACCAAAGAGCAACTAGGATGAAAGTCTAAAAGCAGCCGCAGCTTCGAAGTTGAAAGGACTGTTCGGCCGCGGAGAAGCAGCCTTGGGAGAAGCTACCTGGGCAGCATCACACATCCCAGCAGTTGCCAATTAGTGCTAGTGAGTAGTCCCTACCTGGGGTCAACTAATTGTGAACTTATATCAGTGAACACGCCCTAGAATCTCAAACCACGCGCCGCACCCCTGTTTTTCCTTCAGTCAGCACGATTTCGCCGAAAGAGGCTGCCACTTCGAGGCAGCAGCATTGCCATGTGCGGTGATGTCCAACAGAAGGTCGCCACATGACGACGCCTCAAGCCACCCAGGACTTCTTTGACCTTCCCAGCCACCAATCCTTGTTGCCAAATTGCACTAGAGGTTGGCAGCGTCGGCTGGCCCTGGCCAAACTGAAGAAGTCTTGAAGTCACTGATCCAAAGCTCAAATCCTCTGAAGGCGAAGTTCAGATTCAGCTTGTCCGAGCATTTGCCATTTACTGCGGGCGGCCTTGCCTTTTCCATCTGTTGAGCCAGTCTAAAGGCCATCAAGGGGTCACGTGAAGCCCTGCAGACCGCAGCGGTGATCGTTCCTGCAGGATGCTCGCCACAATCTGCATGAGGGAAGGGAGGGTTGCGAGCAAAGCGCACAAGCTATCAATTCCTGGAGGTGGAAAATGGCAACCGAAGATCACATCAGTGCAATGCACTTGCCATGTAGTTTTGTCGTCCGTGCCAAACATGCGACATCAGGTCTCAGGCGCGCACTGGACTCAGCATGCTAACTTTCTGGGTTCCAGGTCGGAGCTTTGTTGCTCCTTCTTTTGGAGGTGCAGAGCCCCTCAGTTGCAGAAGGGAGGATTTATCCAATTTCTCAGCCAAGTGGATTTCAGTCCATGGTGAAGGGGAAATATGACTTTGGCACTGAGCCCCTTACAGGGTCACCCTTATCCTGGCCGAAGAGGAGAGATTCTTTTGCAGCTATGCATAGTGTGTGGACGCTTCAAGACTCCGCTGTTCAGGTCCGTTTCATGAAAGACAAATGCGGGCGAGCTTGGGGGAAGAAACAGAAAACTTTGCTACAAGCTGGCATACACCAAATGCAGCATCACGCATCTTATCTCCAACCCCTGGCGCTGCTTTCTAAAGCTGATAACGTACGTTTGGATGCTCGATCAGCCAAGTGTCTTTGGGCTAGTCACGCTTGGATCTTCAAGTTGCTGCACGAACTTCCGTTGTGATGTCACCTGTGCGGTCGTTCAGCGTTGCACATGGAAATCCGCTATTACATGCCCAGCTCGCCGGGCGAAAGCTCAAATGGCCCTCCACCCCAATGTTGACAGTGAATGGTCGTTGTAAATGCGCATGCAAGCATCTCACCCAATTTCCGGCCTTGCACTGATGGTCAAATGCCTCGCGGATGTCTGCTGTTTCTTGCTGTGTAAGGCCTTCCTTCTCGCGGAACTCGCGGAGGAAGGACGCCTTGGAGGGATGCCGGTGGTCAGTGGTCAGACTGGCTTGTTAACAGATCTGATGGCGCTGCCACAGCACTATATGATCCTGACTCATGTGCGTGTGGTTGTCCAGCGGGTACTGCTCATCAAGAATGCTAAAGATGAGGTCGTCTGTTGCAAAATACCTGAGTCATGTTTGCTGGTTTGCTATGTTACTCCTCTTCAGGACGGCAGTGGCCACCAGAATGGAACACTTAATCTTAAAAAACAAGCCACCTCAGTTCCACAAGTGCACGTGGCAGATCTTGCAGTGACAGCATTTGGCCATCTTCGGCCAGAAGTTCATAGACAGAGGCTATTGCTTCCCTCTCTGCATCCCTGACCCGGCGAATCAGCTTCAGCAACTCCTCACGCATCGCGTCGCGCGCTGCAGGCTCAAGCTGTGAACGGCTTTATCATCAAGAACAGCGCGGTTCGCCCCCAAAATGCCCAAAAGTGTTGTGCAATAATGTTCGATATGGTGACGTTAACCAACACACTGTGCAGGCTGAGCGGCGCGGCTTGTGCCTCAGGAGTGAATGTAATGCTCTACAGGATGACGGGTCCTGGAAGCTGATGTAGCCGCTGTCATCG